TACAATAAGAAAGATAGCATTACAGTATGTCATTTAGCTGATATTTGAGAAACTAGAAGGAAAAAATAGACAAAAGGCAAGTACCTGTTGTTTTTAATTTTTCGATATACCCTGTCAAAAAACACCAAAAAACTCCTGTTTTTTTATAATTCATATTCAAAACTCAGTTATTTTTTTTTCTTTATTAGATAATACACAAACTATTTTTATTATTTTTCCCGTTATGATCTAGTAGAATAATATATAGTCTTATACGGATAAAAATAAATAAACAGAAGGCAAATACCTGGTTTGTTCTCGAAATACAGCCCCACCCACCCCACCCTCCAAAAATCTTTTTGTTTCATATTCAAAACTCAGTTATTAATTACATGTTTCAAAACTAGTTATTAATTACATGTTTCAAAACTCAGTCATTAATTACATGTTTCAAATCATTTATTAGAAAACACACAAACTATATTTTCTTTTCTTAGATAATACACAAACTGAAGTTTTATTTTTCCATTAAAAATTTATTAGGATAATATAGGCTATAAACTGTGAGGATTTACCATTAAATCGACTTACCCTGTCCAAAAAAACCCCTTTTTTTTCAAATTCAAAACTCGGTTATTATTTTATACGGATGCGTATAGGGGTCATGAAAAATTTTGTAGAAGGTCTCGAGATCCTGTGATCCAGTTATTTGCTCGAGATCTCAATTTAATGTTCTTGAGATTCCCTAATACTTTCCCTGGGTTTACGATTTGATTAAAAAGAAATACCCCAAAAATACCCTAGCATTTGTTAAATGAATAACCGGACAATCGATGGTGTTTATCCATTCTCTTATGGTCCTAATGCTTTACACTAAATTAAAAAAAAAATGATTAAAATCGATAGGATTCATCGTCTTATGGCCCCAGTGCTTCATACCAAATATGAAAATCAAAAAACTACCGCGTTAGCTTTGAATGTGTGAAGCTCTGATTCACAGACTTGCTTGTTCAATTATTTCAATTTAATGTATGAGCGACGTTTTATCGAAAATGTTATTTTTTGCATGGTTTTCAGGTCACATTTCTTTTAGAATAAAGCTAGAGACATGGTGTATTGTCTTGTGGATCAAATGCTTCACGGCAGACTTTAAAATGAAAATCTTGAAAAATTGGGGCTCTATCGCGTTCACCATCTTTAAGGGAAAATATAATAACGTCATAACGAAAAGTCAGGGAGCGCTGCAAATCAATAAGGCTCATTCTCTAGTTGCAACAATCCTTTCAGAAATCTAGCTTCCACCCTGTCACAAGGATAAATCCCACGGAACGCCGAGGGCTCATGACACCAATGCTTCAAAAGAAATTTGATATAAAGTGTATGGAAATAAGCTCACACAGCATCTATGTCTCTACAGCATATCATCCGAAAGAAAAACATAGAGGTTGAATAAATTGAATAAGGATCTAGCATCCTTCAAGAAATCTAATCTCTATCTGTTCACGTGTTTGTTATATGTCTGTGACAGAAATCCTTACATTGCTGAAATGCAACAGGGGCCATCCTTTTTGCGAAACACTGAATATCGAAAATCCGTTAAAAACATAAGACTCTATCGCATTAACAAGGTTTTCAAGGAACGTCTATATGACGTTAACAAGGCTTTCGGGGAGAGGGTGTGTGGTATCTTAAGGAACAGAAGGTCACAGAATGCTGAGTATCGATAGAATTCGTCCTCTCATCGTCCTTTATTTGAAAAAAAATACGGACAAAGAGCGTAACTCTGAAACAGAAGTTTGCGGAGTACCGAAAATCGAAAGGCCCCAGTGCTTCACACCACATTTGAAAAACAAAATCTGTTAAAAACTGTAGAGTCTATTGCGTTAACAAGGTTTTTTGAAAAGGGGGTTAACTCCAGAACGATGCGGAACGCTGAAATTCGGGAGTATAAAAATACTCAAGATCTCGAGAAAATTTGCACAAGATCCCGAGAATAGTAACTTGAATTCTCGAGATCGTTAACATAGGATGGAGGAATCTCGAGAACATTGAATTGGGATCTCGAGAAAGTATCACAGGACCACAGGATCTCGAGGTCTTCTACAAAATTTTGCATGACCCCTACATGTTTTTGTTTTTTTATATTTTGTATGACCCCTATACGCTTCCGTACTTAGATAATACAAAAACTATAATTTTATGTTTTCCATAAAACTTTATTGGGATAATATAGACAACAAACAGCGTGGAGATTTATCATTAAATAAATGGATTAAACTTTAACCAAAATAAGCTACTATAGGGAAGGGAGGCACCACAGACCTTTTCCAAGTACCGGGTTTACCACATCTTCAATAGAAGGCTTGATGCAGATAATGTTAACTAAACACAGTGGACTAAAATCAAGTAAAAAATGAAAGCACATTCTGCCAATCACCAATCATATCATTGGGTGTCTTGCAAACCGGATTAATCTGCAGTTGTGTGAAGTTTTGCTTTGCCATGAGAAAATATAAATTTTAATTTCGGCAAATTTTTTTTTTATTCTTTTGGAAGATAAAGTTTTATTTTAGAGTTTAATGTCGTTTTTATGTTAGATTACATATATATTATATTTTATGCGTTTGGGCCTCGAAAGGTCTTTAAAACGGCCCTGGCTGCAAAGTTATACATGTATTTGAAATGGGTTAGTTCAATTTTTGTGAACTTTTGAATAAGCAAGATTGTTCAAAACTGGTAGCTGAGATACTTATAACTACATTCTAAACATAAGAGACAAGCCACCTGCGAAGAAAACACGGCTAGCGATATTACCAGTGGCGGCGCCAGCCGTCGGTGATTGGAGGGGTAAAGCTGGGGCAAAGTCCAAGGTTAAGGGGCAAAGGCACGAGTTTAAACTAGGGGTAGGGGACCTCCCCCAGAAAATTTTGAAAAACAGGTTGCCGGAAATGCAGTCTGGCAGTATTTCAGGCACTGATCGATGAGGTAAAGTGTCAAACGAACGGACTTGCGAATCACGACGAAGCCCACTCAAGAGCGTCAAAGTAGGGAGTCCTCCCCGAGAAAATTTTGAAAAATAGACTGCCGGAAATGCTGTCTTACAGTATTCTGTCAGGCACCGATCGTCGAGATAAATAGATCTGACCAGATACCGTCCGTCGCCTGATCACTAGTAATTATCCGACTAGAGAACAGAATGTCAAACGAACGGACTTGCGAACCTCAACGAATTCCCCTTGTGAGCGCCAAAGTAGCGATTCCATTGGGGACCTCGCCACGAAAATTTTGAAAAATAGACTGTCGGAAATGCTCTACAACATGCAAGTTTATGACTGAGTGGGGATGTGGGATTTATTCACCGTAGAAGGTATTGATTACCGAAGCGTATCACAAATACTTTTTTTTTATTTTCTAAAATTATTGGGGGGGGGGGGCAAACAGCGGGCAGACCAGATTAATGAAGGGGGGGGGGTAAATGCCCCCCCCCCCCCCCGCCCCTGGTGCCGCCACTGGATATTACGTATGTCATAATTAAAACTGAATTTTCACAAACGTTCACTTTGATCTTTTCATACAACGAACAACTTATTTCTATGGTTATGGCTACATTGCGAATAGTGTTTTGCCCGGATAGTGGCGCTTTAGCCTACTCTTCGAATTCCAGCAGCCAGGGAATTCGTATATGTGTACTATCAACATGTATACGAGGATTTGGGGTTGGATCCCATTTCCTATCAATCAGAGTTAAGACGACACGACCATCAAATCTCCCTTGTTTAGGAGATCTTTAAGGAGAGTCATTTCAATAAATTCAAAGTACAACATGTTTTATCACACGTGTTGACAACAACTATATACTCCGTGACTATTTACTACAGACAACTCGTGCAAAACACTTCCAGAGCTCATAGCTACAATACAGCTTGTTCAATTAATGAACATAACATTTATGTTTCCCCATTTGATCATATAACTCAAATAGACTAAGCTTTATACTGTCCATGTTTCAGTAGTCTCCACACAACGAATGAGTGTGTTATTTAATTTTTGACACTCAATTATAGGGGAATGATAAATCGCTTGGCTCCTGGACGGTTCAAAATTAGCTGTAGTTGAACGCGTTCTTTACTATAGAAGCCAATAAGTAGCTCTACCTCAGTGGAAGAGCGTCGGGACCATTAGAACAAACAGGGTTAAGGACACACGCAGCAATGCTTAGGGCCAGTGTTAAATGTTGGCTACTGAAAGTAACAGCTAGCACCCATTACAATATTATTACTGTCTAGAAGGGGATAATAGTAACGAAATAATTAGACCTATAAGAAGGTAAACGCCGTTCGGTAAATTTATGACATCCATCATATGGACATAAGGCCCACTTTTCAGAATATGCATATCTTATGGTATGTCGCGTATGTTTTAGGCTCGGTTTTTTTTTTGTGTGGATTTATCTCGACTGTCCCTGGATTTAAAGCTTCCATGTGCGTGGTGGACCTATGTTTCGCTAGGGTTAGAGCTAAGTTCTTGTAAACTGACTCCATAATGAAAAAAAAAATCCGTGTTGGCCTTCATGTCCCTATGATGGAGGTCATAAATTTACCAGTAATAATATTGGATCGGGTGCAGCTAGGGCCTGTGCACGAAAATTAAACTAAGATATTTTAAGACTGAAATCATAGCACAAATATTAGCTCTTGGTCAATGAAAAAGGGCAGCATTCTTATAATATTTGTGTTTAAATTTTCTTGAATTTGGTCCCCGTTATGCTTTTCCTGCCCCGGCATCACCTCGGAATTTACTTTGAGATGTACGGCATTAGCCGTGTTAGGTTCATTCGTTGACTTTGACCGATTATTTTTTCAGAGTACCAGTTGGTTGATAAGTCCAACAGGTGTATTTAATACAGACGTGTTTGTGATGCATAGTCTACGTATTCGAACTCACTTTGTACCTAAAAACTAATTGCTAATGGCAGAACATTATGTGAAAACTGAAGTTAATGAAAACGGTAGCGTTCCTCCATCCTCCGGAACAACGCCAGCCAGTCATGAATCTCCCGAAGACTCTTCTGCTGGTAGTTTAATGGACGAAGTTGCCGAGCAACGACTGTACGTCATCAGTCGATCTGGTAGTGGAGAGGCCATGTATTTGGTTCTGGAGGAAGATTTAACGGATTTTGTTTCTTATAAAGTTAAAATAGAACATTGGACTCAGATCAAAGATTTGGTGGATTTTGGTGTAGCGGTTGTGAGGAATAATGTTTATATTATCGGCGGGTATGATAGCGTTAATGCTAAACACACTAACAAAGTTCATAGGTGAGTTCAAATATTACTGAATTGGGATTTTATTTGGTTAGATCTATTTGATAAGGCCAACTTCAAGTTTGGTCAAAGGTCACGACATGTAGGTCCTAAACAGAACTAGCGCTAATCCCAATCCTAACCCTAACCCTGGGCCTAACCCCAATGCTTACCCTTACCCTAACCTACAATCTCGCCAACAATCACGTGCACCAACCTTATTTACATCTTAGCGACCATGACGAAATTGAGCTGGCCTTAACAAATAGATTTAGCCGATTTAGCGGTAGTTGGTGGTATTTGGAAGCCGTGTATAAAATGAAATCGTAACCAGTCTAGTGAAGATGCTAATGTTTGGATGGTATTTCAGATACTCTATTGTAAATATAAAAGATTCTCCAGTTTACCGTACAGTGCTAATTGATATTGAAATAATTGAGGGTTCCCTCAGTTTTTGATAATATTGAGATAGTTTGTGAGAGTATGTTTTTAATATTAGTTTATATTCGTTAATATTTGGTAAGTATTATTGGGTAAATCACACTGCAGAAAAGACAGAATTTGATCATTGGCTATATGAGAGGTCGGGTAAGGACACTGTTAAGTTTTACCAATGTACGTCAAAAGATTTCCCCCGTTTTCATTAGCTCGGTTCGGAGCAGAACAGTAGGACTTAAACCCCATTTCATTTCATTTCTAAAGATTTCTAGGAGATAGCCAATACATGCGTTCTGTGCTGTTATGATCTACTGAAGCAATCCAGCTACGGACAAACCACAGTCAACTGATTCATCGCTAGAAATTGTTTCAATGGCATTTAGTAATTGAACTGGAATATACAGGTCACAATTCTATGGAATACAATTAATTACTGCTTATTACTGAGCGACATTTCGACCAGGCTTCTCAGTTATAAGCAGTAATTGTATTCCATAGAATTGTGACCCGTATCATCGCTAGAAGGTTGAAGCGCCTTCTGAACATACACTCGTCCGCAGGTTAACAAGACTAAAACACTTAATACTGGTATGTAAAAAAAAAATTTCCATCGGGACATACAACCGCCCGCCTATACTGATAAGTAATTAAAATATGTTTCAGATACGATGTTTCAGAATTACGCTGGTCGGAATGTTCACCGATGCATTATGGCCGCTCAAAGTTTGGTGTTGGTGTCGTGGATGACTGCATTTATATTTCAGGTGAATAATGTTTATCTGATCAACATTTCCCAGGCATTGGGTACAACCTCTTTACACGAAAAAGATTGGCGTGTTCGGCTCCATGATACTTCAATGCTTAAATAAAAGGATGTCAGTGGTGCTGGACGGAGGGTCTTGCAATGAACCCAATAAACTCTGTCTTCATTAGCCCAGTTGATGCAGAAAAGTAAGACGTTAAACCCCATTTCATTTAACAAAAGATACGAGGACAAACCGACATTTTGGATGAAAAGAAAACATGGAACAGATGAATCCAGATTGAAAGGTGTGATCGAGATTACTAGAGTTCTTCTCTCTTTTTTTGGGGGGGTGGGGGGTGGGGGTGGGTTGGATGGCTGAATGGTTAGCGTGCGCGCGCTGTATCATAAAGTTTGTCATTGAGTCGACTGGCGTGGTTTCGAATCCCCGGTTGTACGTGACAAGGAGTAGGGTCGCCTGTCCAACCTCGTGGGTTTTCTCCGGGTCCTCCGGTTTCCTCCCACTGCTAAAGACCCCTATGCGCAAGCGAATTATTGAAATAAAATTAAACCATATGTTAGTCCCGAAATGACCTAGTTGTGTCGAGTGGACGTTAAACCCCATGTCTCTCTCTCTCTCTCTCTCTCTCTCTCTCTCTCTCTCTCTCTCTCTATTTTTTGTTAAGCGCATCCGTGTTTCTTTGGTTTGTGGGTCTTTATACTAAATGGGGGGAAACAAACATTTTATCTCGATTAATCTTATGTTCAACACCATTCTGTTAATAGGTGGCGAGCGAAATGGTGGCAAAGTAACTGGTAGTTGTGAAATGTACAATATGAATACTGGTGTCTGGATGAAAGCTGGGATGTTGATATCACCAAGGTTCAACCATTCCTGTACTGTTGATGGAAACGAGGTCTACTGTGCTGGAGGTTTCCATGGTAACCAAAGTAACAGTAACCTATGGTTAGCAATTCTCATTTTATTCTCTGGGAAGATGTTTTGTAAAAAATAAAGGCAACATTCTGACAATAAAGATTTCAGAATAATATCATATTAACACGGGATTCATGGGCGCGGGCTGACTACCCAGGGAATCCGGGATTCCCAGAAATTTACCCGGGATTTTCCAACGTAGTTTGTGATTTTCCAGCGTGGTTTCCCATACCAGGGGTCAGTTGGAGATCCGGACAAGATTTCCCTCTTTACACACTGTATGGCGTATGTCGGTCTGTATTAGCAATGTCAACACAGCCGAAACAAACATTTGACTAACGATTTCATCTGGACAACAGTTCTTATGATTTGGTTCTTATCCGCGATATTACCGAGACAATTGCTGAGAAAATGATGAGTCGTTGCCTGATGTATACATGTTTTCATAACCTATACCGTTTGTGCCTTTCTGTTTAAGTTCCCAATTTAGTGATATAATTTCATATTTATCAAAGAAACTGACACTTTATTGCAGGGTTTATGAGGAGTATAAATGGAGCGAATTAGATCGGGACTACCCTCACAAACTACCAGTACCCTTAGACAGATTTTGTGCCATAACTGTGGGTGGTACCTTTTACTTTATAGGAGGTCAGTATGATTTATCTTGAGCAACGGTGTACAGAGAATTAGTGCCACCGGGGCCAAATCCTTGATTTTATGCAGGGACGTAACTAGCTCAGAACAACGAGGGGGGCGGGAAGTGTTTTAAGGGGTGCTGTAAATTTGACGGACAATGTATATCTATGGTCAACAATATTTTCACGAGTAGGGGGGGGGGGGGGAACAAAACATTTTGCAGAGGGGAGCGGGGGTTGCCTGATTGTATGCCCCCAAGACTCAAATAACCCACAAATATGAGAAACGAAAACATTTTAAATATGTCAAAACAGATAAAACCTAGAAAATACGATACATACTCTTTGATTAGATGTGTCCCCACCTCCGAAATGGATGCCCCGGACCGTCAACCACCCTCCCACACCTTTGACACCCCTTCCCCCACTGCACACCACCATTCGCCAATGGGTAGATCGCAACAGTTCAGATGTCGAGTCCTAAGATTATTAATTACTCCACATATCTAAAAATTTCGCTCTACGTTTGTATTAAAATAACTTGGCTGAAAATCCCGAGGTGGTTACTCTACCCGCTAAATTTAACTGGTGACCATGCTAGTGTTGGATGCTAAGGCCCAATAACCATTCAACTATGACCTTACCTCAGGCAAAAGTCAAGAAATGTTTACTTTTTCTAGAAATTCGATACCGCTGTCCAATCCAACAACATCGGATATTAATTAATCCACATATCTAACAATTTCGCTCTACTATTCTATTAAAAAAAACTTGGCTAGTGCTGGTTGCTACGGCATGGCAGTCGGAATTCCATATAAGTGTAGGCCATAGTGCCGTTGCCCGGGCAAAATTTCCCTCATTGCACAATGTATGGCGTATGCCCGTCTTCATTAGCCCAGTCGGAGCAGAACAGTAGGAAGTTAAACCCCATTTCATTTTATTTCATTTCTAAAATACAAGTCAAGATAACCATACAGCTATGACCTTGCATCAAGCACCAGGCAAGAAATCCTTACGCTTTCTAGAAATCCGACACACCCTCCAATCAGACAGCACACAATTTCTGTTGTAATATTAACAGTTTTTCTTAACAACATTATTGTATCAGAACGTTCGAATCCGTATTAATGTCAAGGCTTTTGCCTTTTATCTAGGTGTGAGTTGCAGGGTTTCCACAAGAACTGGTAAAGCCAGACTCTTCACCCAGTCGGACATGTTCTCCTACACATCTTCAATATCTATAGACCAGGATATAACAGAAGCATCGGATATGTTGAGTCCCTGGAATTACAGACTCCCTTCATTACATCATGCACGACACAGCGCTGGTGCAGTATTAATAGGTAAATAACTTTTAGGAAATATACTTGTCATCAGCTTTACAGGGTGCAGTGTCGTGCAGGGAGGTTAGCGAGAGTATCATGGAGTTGGCTCCGGGCATCACCAAACCTTTGCACGCCCCTGATTGGGTGTAATCGTCTGATTGAATATCGTCGTCAAAAATATAATTCAAAGTATTTCCTAACCACCACTATAATATTCAATTCAAAACCTAGTTGTGGGTATCGTCAATGCTTTATTAATGAAGTTGAAACAATTGGTTCTAATGGGGATGCATTGCTTCATCTGCATAAACAGCAGTCGTCCAATCTGGACACAACACCATCTGCCTCTGCTGCTAATATTTCACCCTATCTGTAGTTACCGGTTACCTTCATAAACATTATCCCAGTAGCAGTTTCCCAAATTTCGTTTAACGAAGAACCTTCTGACATTATTTTGAAATACGTGGAACCCAACCTATATGAATATTAAGAACCACAAAATGTGAGAGAAAGAGTGAACTTTTTAAAAAATTATAAATGATTTAACAGAATAAAAAGATTGCTTTTAGGCTCCAGTATCTTCTGGAAATGTGGTTTAATGTTGGATAATTGAATATGTTGTATCAAATTTTAGCTTGCGGAACCCCTGACATTTCCTCAGAACCCCTGTGTTCGGGGAACAGGCTTTGGGAACCACTGCTATAATACCTAATATGTTTTAATTTATAGGTAAGAAGATCTATGTTATAGGCGGGTCTAATTTAGATACTGAGCAATCCGTCAGAATGGTCGAATGTTTTGATCTCAAGAGAAGACGTTGGAAAGAAGACTTCAGATTTCGAAAAGGTAAAGCCGAGACATAGGTTTGAAACTACTCGCCTTCCTTACTGCCAGCTGCTGATGGCTAATTGGCTATGTCCACCTGTTATTAAAGAGTTTTTGACATGGTGTTGGTAGATGAACATCGACAAATAAACCCAGTTTGTAGATTTGCCAATCTCATTAAATTACAGATCTATGTTTCGTTTCGTTTTTTTATACTTTCGGTAGCCTACACTACATGAAGATCTGACCGGTTGTACTGGAAGGTCGCATCAGGGGTCGTACGAGCGATTTTTGCCCCTATGGCGTTAGGCATTGATTCATCAATCAGCGTTGACGTATCTAGTGGTTTACCCACAGTTCCGTGCATCGGAAGGCAATAACTCGCCAAGAACTCACTTCAACTTGAACGCCTGTAATATAACAACTCTTCCAGATCCTTGTGTAGTAAAGACAAGTAAAACGAAATTTTAAACTATAGAAAACGAAACGAAATAGGATCTGTGTTTTAATCAGATTGTAGATTTGTTGAACTTAAATTGTTGTACAAGCTGCCCTACTTAAAGGGGCGTTAAGGAAGATTAGTTAAATTGCTGGCAGTTCATGCTATAATAGTGAAACAATAGATAACGTAAAGAGAATATGCTGAAAATTTCACTCAAATTACTTCACTGTGAGCCGAGAAAACCGCATAGCCTCGTTTGTCATTGTTACCGTTGTTTACGATAATAAACAAAGTCTCGATTATCCAGTTTTACGGTTAATCATGAACAGCCGTTGAATCGGAGATCAGATTCAAATCTGTTTAAAATTGTACCCATAAGATGGCATCGGGAGTTGATTATGGTCTTCTCCTTCTCATGTTAATAACAGCCCCCCCCCCCCCGCCCTGTGAAAAAATTATCGACCATAAAAACAATTGATGTACAGCACCCCTGAGAACACTTTCCGCCCCCCAGCACCCTCGTTGCTCTGAGCTAGTTACGGCCCTGGATAATAAATGTCTAAATTATAAGGTCCACGGTTTAATTTGAATGAAAAGTGTATTTCATCTGTTTTGACAAACATGTATTTAAAATTTCATATTTCTGAGTACTATGCCATATACAAGAATCTCTCTTGGGGGCATACACTTAAGATATTGGCCCCGAACATCACCACTGAATAAAAATTTTAATATGCTATATTTTTCAGGTGATGTATCTAATGTTGTCTGTGCTATATTAAAAGTCCCAAATATTCCAGAAAGTGAAAGGCAATTGACTTACAAACTAAAATGGGTGATGTGGTGATATTGCCACGTTTAATGCCAAAATGCCATTTTAATAGGACACGTTTGTCTCGTTCGTGTAAATAGTAGTTTGGTTGCCACCATACTCTGTTCTATACAGAGTTATCTTTTCCTGGAAAAGTTAAGGGCTCCTTGCCTGGGCACTACTTTATTGACAATTACTTTTGATAGGTACTCAGTGCTAAACGGTCGAGTTTAATTCTCGGGATTACAGTCAACAGTACCTATTGATGACTCTTATGGTCTCAAAACAGAAAATTGAAACTAACTGTACTACTAATATATGATAGCTATGTTATTAAATTTAATTGGCAGTTGTTTATCAGTAGGCTAACACTAACCTAGTTACCCCCCCTTTTTTACAAACTGTTGGCATTTGGCTGCAAGAGCAAATATTTTCACAACTTCACAACACTACCTTTCGAATCTGAATCACCCTGGAGAGCGCCCCATTTGGTAGGCGTGATATGGGGGCAATGCCCTTGAGATAAATGACTATATGTGTGTGTGCGTGATGTGGAGCACTGCTGTTTGGGGGGCATTAATTATTGGCTCCATTTAGTAGTGCAATCTCGGTGAACTTGGTGCCAAACTTGGACTGAATGGTAAGATGACCAGGCCCGTAGCTAGCCCAAAATTGTTGGGGGTCAAAGGCTTCTGGGGGCGCCGAAGTACCTACACTTGACGGTCCATGGTGAAGGGTACCGTGGATACGCCTCCCTTCAACCAATCATAATCGGCATTATGCATGGCCTGAAAATCATATATTGTCATCATAAGGCGCCCCACCAATCATGTCATTAAGGACGCCCCACGTATCAAGCCGTTTTGGGCACCCCATCAGTTGTGGTGTTAATCATGTGAGTCATTATGAGGCACCTCACCATTTGGGGGGGGGGGGGAGTGCCTCATACATAACGACATGTTTGGCGAGGCGCCCATAAAACCAAGTGAAATTGGTTGGGCACCCATCAATCTCGTCGTGGGCGCCCAACCAATTGCACTCGGCTTTATGTGGTGTCCATACTGATATGATCACATTGGTCGTTGGCTTCATATTGCGTCCAATGGAAAGGGCACCTGCATTGGGGGAGTTGATTTTTCTCCAATAGCAAAGGGAGCCTTCGGCATTATAGTGGTGGCTGTCATATAGAGTGGTTCTTTCTAAAATCATGTGAATATTGATCCCGTAATCTAATTATTTTCTACAGATATAAATTTCAGACATCCAAAACCTCCGTGAATAATGTCCATTCTGACCACAGCTATATGTGGGTTATTAAGATTTCCCATGTAATATACAAGTACTGTTATGTATATTGTTATAATTGACTACCAAAAAATCAAAGATAGGTTGCCAGGCAAAGAAACATGCACACACAGCAGCTAAGTCGTCTGGCAGTCAACAAGAGTTGTCACATATTTTTTCTATTTTCGGTAATAAACCATTTATAATACACTAAACTCTGATTATGTGTAACAACTCATTGAGTAATTATCAGAGTATCATTAGAATTTGTTTGGCTTTTAATTCTGCCCCAATCAGATATTAACTTCAAAGTGATCAAGGGCCATAACTCTGGCAGTAATTACCGGAAATTGTTGAAAATCAATAGGCTTCTTCGTCTCATGTGTATAAATTTAATGTCAATCGGATATTAAGTTTAGCTTCTAGAGCGTCCACAAGCAATTGTGGACGACGGACAGATGGATGGGGTTGACAACAATATACGACCACATTTCAAGGTGGGCGTATAACAAAAACTCAAACTATTAGATTCTTATGCATAAAAGATTTTACTTTACAATTGGATGCTGATGCAAAACAAAAAAAAATATTAACTGTACAAAAAACAGATTTTATAATATTTACCGCCAGATACATGTCTATATATAAATAGCCACACATTATCCGCCTCTATAATAATAATAAAGTTTATCAAATTATTATAAATGATGATATACAATATCAATACATAAAATAAATTACTTTGGCAAGCCTACTACTAATATTCAGGGGAGGCTGAAATCTTAAACAAAGGCATTATCTTGGGGTTTTATATTCAAAACAAACTAAAACAAAAATCGTTGGGTATTCAGTGGCAGAAAATGTTTTTTTCTTGATCCAAAAAATTAATGAAAACCATCAAATAAAAAATAAAGTTCAGCTAATTATAATTAGCAATACATCAAGGGAAGCAACTCTTGCTTTGCTTTTAATAATAAACCGGTGCCTCAAAAACAACAAAATCAAAGTGTCCCAAAATTCACAACACTGACTTAGTTTTGCCATTAATTATTTATGCATATGTATAGAACCTGGTGCAGCATTGTGATTTAGTCTGTGTAACTCCTGTTACTAGCATATATCTTTGGTATATTATTTATATTATTCATTTATTTATGTGCATTTCATCTATTTAATATAGATTTACTTTGTTAGACACCAAAGAATTAATAAATATTTAATACTAGAATACTTGGTATTGATACAATCACTATCTTTATTACACTGTAATATTTCTCAAGTTGTTTTTAAGCAAAATACAATTACTTTGTTTATTACACCGCAAAGTGTTAACATTAGGTTTTAGTTTGAAAATGGCTTGTGAAATCTGAGTGTAATAAGTGTAGTTTGATGGACGAGTGTGAGACATTAAGTAATAAATTGATATTGCACAGGTGCGTTTAGCACGAGGGCTATATCTATATATTACACAATGTCTTGCACAAGACCATTAAACAACTTAAAATACAGACAATATCCAGCACCTGTATTTCAATGAAATACGTCACACGGGTCCAAAATTTCAACTATAATGTACGCTTGGCACATTGCCCGTACCATTATGAGAAATAATGGTTCGCCAACATCAAATTATGTCACATCTGTATTTTAAACCTAGTGATTGTATCCATACCAAGTATTCAAGTGTTATATTATAAGCCAATTGTAAAATCCTCTAAAGGATTATATTTAAGTTACAAAAAAGAAAAATCTGCATTTTGCATCTTTAACTTGGTATGTACACTATCATGACAAAACCTAAAATATTTTAGAAAGTTGCCACTTTTACAAAAAATTTAATTAAAAAAATGGAATCAAATAAACTTTGATCAAACATTTAAGAAAAAAAAATATCACTATTTACCTTAAATAGTTATTATAATAAAATCTGTCCTAATTCACTAAATAATATCTTATCAAATTAAAAGAAAAAAATTGTACAAATTATAAATTATTACAGAAAAATGAAATAAATTGAGAAGAAAAGGTTGAGTTTTGATTGAGTTGAGTAAATATTTTACCAGTATTTATTATATGATTTATATTATAAGCTAACAAATTTTTAGACTTCTCTATATAAGCAAATTAGTTTGTATGTTTTTAAATATTGATTGAAGGAACCAAGAGTTGTCTGCCCATGTGTCATATTGATAAAGTAGTGCACTGACGCCTCTTAGACATGAAACTTCAACTGCCCTGATTAGAAACTTTTGGAATGTATTAAAATACTGTTAAATCTTTCATTATCAATTTTTATCTTTCTTACTGTCTTAAGAACTAACAGGTTAAGAGTACTTTTAGTAATTCTAAAATCTTCTTAATAATTAGAGAAGTCATCATTTTATTTTAAAATCTACATGCATGCACTTATCCATAATATCCAGAAAAGATTTATTTTAACCAGTTTCTCTTTAACAGGTACACATTTGTTGTTTTTTTTCATATGGGACTTTGTACCTTAATTCGGTCACTAACCATGATGTCCATCAAACATTTATTTCAACCAAAATCTCTCTTAAGTGCACATTTTTCTTTCCCTTTGGGACTTTGTACCTTAATTCGTATACTATCCATAATGTCTATCAAAAGATTTATTTGAACCAAAATAAGTGCACGATTGTTTTCCATCTGGGAGTTGGTACCTTAATTAATTTGTCAAAAAACCATGGGAAGACAACTCACTGATATCCTTCTTTATACAATTAGAATATTTCATTTCTTTTATCATAATATACACTATACAAAAAAAAAAAAAATCTTTATATACAAAATGGTAAACGTTACAGTACGTCGTGCAATGAAATTATGCCGATTATATTTACATATGATAAAGATAGGTTGCCTGGCACTGAAACATATGCCCACAGCAGCTAAGTTGTCCGGCAGACAACAGGGGTTGACACATATGTTTTTTCTTTTGTCGGTAATGAAAACATTTACAGCACACTAAAATCTGAGTACTGGTAACAACCCATTAAGTAATTATTAGAAATCATAAGGATTTGTTCCGCTTCTAGTTCTGCCCTATACTAACGTTTAGTACACAAAACAATTAATATTAAGAGCCATAACTCTGGAAGTAATAATCTGAAATCGTTGAAAATTAATAGGCCTCTTTGTTTCATGACCTTAAACACTGTGTATAAATTTAAAAGACAATCAAATATTAACTTTGGCCTCTAGAGTGTTCACATAATTTTTCAAAGTGACCAAGGACCATAACTCTGGCAGCAATTATCTGAAATGAATGAAAATCAATAGGTTTTCTCTGCATCTCATGACCTGAAACACTGTTTATAAATTTAAAGTCAATAGGATATAAACTTTAATCTGTAAAGCGTCCATAAGCAATTGAGGACGTCAGACGGACAGACAGGAGCGATGACAATATACAACCACATTTCAATATGGGCGTATAAAAACCAAGCTGAGAGCTGATCGCAACTAGTACACAAAGAGATGAACAAAAGACTTCTGCTGGAAAATGATTCACTGGTAACATCACAGGGGCTATGTATGCAGCAACATAGTCAAATTAGGATGCTACAGGTGATGGGAGGACCTGGCTTAAATAAATAGAGTGTGCCACAAAGTGGGGGTTTCAGCTTGTAGACTGAGCTACTTCCCTATCATCATAGGAGCATTTTGGTAACCTTGTAACCAAATTGGGGTGCTCAAGAATCTTATTTAGACAGTTGTGTCACTCCCTCAACAGGACAAATGCATGAACCAAAAGCCCTTGTAAATTGTACAGTGCAGTATACTAATAACAAAACTTTTGCAGCAAGCCAAATATATATCTGCTTGAAGCTGTTTAAATCACAGGGGTATGACACTATACACTGTCAGGCCCCTGTGGTTTCAATAATTAATAAATGAGCAAAACTAAATAAAATTGACCACCTTGACTGATTAAATCATTATCTAAAGATACCGGAGACCAAAGCTCAATTATTACACATAGCTGCTTAAATTAAGGAGATCATGTGCTTTATATATTCTTTAAGAGGATTCCTTCAAGTGCAGAACATACAAACTGAAATATTTATACATTAAAGGTTCAGTATCTCTTTATTTCAGGTTACTATAACAATATAACGAAATGAATTGATTTCATCTGCATTTCAATTTGCCCTTAATAAAATCAACATTTCTATATTTCACCCATTATCAAAGGAATCATTTCCTTATAAGAGCTTTGAGATCAACCCTTGCATTTGCGTCAATAAACTATCTTTGAAAATATATGCAAATTAGATTTATTTTCGACATAAACTATGAGCAGAGAAACTAGTGAGCATTAAATAGAGAAATGGTACAGAAATAAATCATAAACAAACCTTAATATATAGACAGATATATCTCAATGGACACTTAGACTATGTAGCGCCTTGAGCATGCATACTAGCATGGAACTGTGCATGGTATAAATGTACATATTATTATTATTATAATAGCCATTATTTTATAAATAGACTGCAAAATTTTGTCCTGGAATCTAATTTACAAGGCAGATGCTAATTATTCTAATTTGCTAGCCATCTTATGTCTGACTTCAGCAAATATTTTGGAAGTGTTAATGTTTTAAGTCTAAATGAAATATTGATACTATATTGACATACCTTGAGCACTACCAAGAAACCATTAAAATAGAAATTGATCAAATACTATCTATCCTGTTAACAGTTTAACATAATCTGCACGGATATTTGACTATTTATATAATGTAGAAACCACTTAATATCACTATGTAATTTGTATAATTATTAAATATAAAATCAATAAATGATAAATAAAGACACAATTCTATTGGTCACAACTAATGGATTTATTCAAATCGTTGTCTCATCATTTAATTTATAAAGATATCAGAATAAACTTAAAAAAAAACACCTTTCAATCAACCATTAGTGTAATTTTTGTCCGACCATCCAACTAGCGACTCTGTTGATGATTACTCCTGGGGTTATCATAAACCCTGTAGTAGATTTAGTTTCTGAAAATCATGTCCAACCTTTTGCTCCCATGTAATGATGGATGTCGTACAGTTAATAAAGCTTCTCACAAACTTGTGTTGTATATTTTGTATAGAATAGTGTCTTGTAATAATTAACTAGAGTAGTTAATAAAGCGTCTCACAAACTTGTGTTATATATTTGTATAGAATAGTGTCTTGTAATAATTAACTAGAGTAGTTAATAAAGCTTCTCACAAACTCTTGTTGTACATTTGTATAGAATAGTGTCTTGTAATAATTAAATAGAACAGTTAATAAAGCGTCTCACAAACTCTTGTATATTTTGTATAGAATCATGTCTTGTAATAATTAACTAGAGTAGTTAATAAAGCTTCTCACGCAAACTTGTATTGTATATTTGTATTAAATATGTAGATATTATAATTTGTTACTATATACCATATATTATAATCAGTTATCATTTAAATCACACAAGTTATCAGATCATTATATAATTACTTTATAATATACAATAAGGCATCAAAAATATATAAACATTTACTGCAGGAATAAGCTTATATAGTCTATTATAAATATATATCTTCCCATTCAATCACTCACTCACAGATATTCCCCTATTTGTTACAGCTTCATTGGCTACGACAATAATTAACTTACATATCCTTTTAGCTTCATTGAGTTTACAATCTCATTGTAAAAGATGGCGCCTGTGGAATGAATTACGCTTTTTTTTAAAGAATAATCTTCGTAACTTGTTAGTTCAGTATTCTTGATCATCCAAATCCTTACCGTCACTACCAGAGTATATTTTTGATTGTCTGGATTGTCAAGAATAGCAGACTACCTCCCACTGAATTGCTATACTAGCCCTATTTTTTTACATAATACACATCATTTCCCACACACACACATTTATTATCAAGTCATACACTAAGCTCGCACTACAAAAATACGCAACGTGACAATGCTCTCAGCTGAGTCAACTTTACCCATAGATGTGCGGATAGTTCAGAAAATCTACTTCTGTCAGTTTGGATGACAGAAAATTCAAATATTTAAGTAAATTACAATCTAATTACTTAGAAAGTGCAAAATATACAATCAATCTTATCTATATTCTTATCCTTGTTATTTAGTTTAAGTAATATATTTCAAGAACAAATTTTAAGATTTGAATATTGTGGATGTAAGACAAGTAAAAATATCTGGTGGGCAGAATTCAGAATTAAGAGCGAGTGTAATCAAGATTTTAGATATGTGTAGATTAAATCTAGTTACAAATACATATATACACGTAAATTAATAGAATATGTATATATATAGTCATAGATATATAAATAGGTGTTTCTAATGGCAAAATGTTGGATTATCTGAGTAAAAATGACAACCACAAACTTGCTAGTTTTAATATTACATACAGTACATAATAGATAGTTTAAAGTATTGGAAAAAGGAGTCATGCTTTATATTTAGAGTGTTTCTTTCTTCTTTTTTTATGGTTTCATATTCTCCATAAACCAATATTTTGACAACACACAATTATATGAACTATTCATTCTCGTTTCAATGTAGTTATCTTATGTAATTTAACACCCCTTTTAAGGTATCCTTTTAATCGTAGTGTTGGTTATCAATGCCATTGGCGCTTCCTTGTTTTCATTAGTATTAAGTACTATTAGGTGCTGTTGAGCCATCAAAAATATTACATAGTCATATCCAATTATAATTGTTCCCCGCCTAAACAGAGATTTCTTACCTTAATCAACAAATTTAAACCACACATCCTGCTTTTGCCTACATTAATAATTTCAAAGTTTGGTTTGTTCTTTTTAACCTTTGCTCAATTTCAGGAGTGCACAATTGTATAATAATGGTTTGGTCAAACCATTTTCTTAATACATCAATATAATTTAATTATAGATCAATGTACTTAATCATAAATCAATGCACTGTTTCAATCACGATGAGATATTTTGTAGAAATTATCTTTTTTTCTTAATAAACAATTAATGAGCAATGAGCAACACACACTAATAATAAAGAAAAGATTATGAATTTACAAATTAATTAACACATACATGTAATGCTTGCTGGTTGAAAATATGAAGCAAAAAGCATGTTAAACAATACATAATTTAATTCTAATGAAAAAGAAATAGTATTTACATGGTTTTTCAGTTCTACTTATGCCATTATTCTTATTCACAAGATAAAATAAAATATTATCTGATGGATCTTTGCCTTATATTTTCTACAAGTAATGGTTTGTTTTTTCAAGTAGACATATCAGAAAATGGTCAACATTCATAGTGATTTAGAATCATTATTCTATTTAATTCTCGAATTAAATATTCTGAATATTTCAATAAATAAATTCTATCTATAATAGCTCATGATGGCTGTATAAGAAATATTGTCGTTAAGTTTACAGATAAATAATAATAATAATAATAATATATTGAGCAAACTAAACTGATGTATGGATAAATAACTGGGATCTTATTCATGAAAATGTAAATATTTTAAGAATACTGATTGTTCATTGGATGAGCACTAAAATCATAGCACAAATAAAAGCTTACAGCCAATGAAACAGCTGCATTCCAAAAATATTTTAGTTTAAATTTTTGATAATAAGGTCCTAGAGCTATTATTTGAATAAATTTAATCAGTCACTGACCAGCTTGTAACAAAAATGTCTGTCAGTCTAAATTCATATCCAGTATTTTAATATACAGACAATAACTCTTAATCGTCTCTGAAGTTAAATTTCAATTTTTATACAAAAAATCTTATTTTTTATCCAAAAATGTTAAGTGTTAAATATGTAGTTCAAATATAACCTGCATTTATTACAATTTCACATATTTCAATACACTGGATTTTCCTTCAAGAAATTGTATCCACCAACAATGTGCCCCAGTGATGAAAGCCTTTTTTGGGGGGTAAATTTGTGGCTTGTTTCGTTAAACCGAATATGATCAAGTGAATATTAAAGAATAAAAGTTAACTGTATATTTGGAAGATGTACAGAAATACTTCTGATGCAATAACATAACCAATAAGATAAACATACATAAAGTTTAAAACTTCTTAAAAATTAGTAGTATATACGTCTTTACTTCGTAGCTTTGTGAGATATTTGAAGCTGAGGAGAGACTCCATTTTAGTTTGAATGATATTGACACTATGGCTAGGTTTGACACAAGAAAGTTTGAAATAAAATGAATGAGTTTGACGACGATAATGTTTTTTGATAAACAGGAAGTTAATGATTTTCCGCATTTCTGGAGGGGGAGGGGGGATTTAGTCATCTTCTATGACATACGCTAGTGGGAAATATCCAGACTGAAATGAGAAGAAAAAATATTAATTGAATACAAAATATTGTGAATTTTCTTGTCAGATTATTAATTTTGTTTCAAAGACGTTAAAAAAATAAGGTGTCACGGTCGTAAGTCCACAGACAGAATTACAATTAAATAAATCAGAATCGAGTTCAGAGTTTAAAATCAACTCACCCTTCCAGAAGTTAAGTTTTTGCCCTTCCACCATCCTTTATCGTTTCCATTTTTGCTGGTTACGGCTATTCGATCACCCGCAGCCAATGAAACTTGCGAAGTTGATGTAGCAGCATAGTCATACTGCACCCTCGCATAACATATAACTCTTTGACCTGCAAAATAACAATACAAATGTAACAAACTTTCTATTCTTCTTTCTAAATCCACTTTCAATTTGTATAGTAGTTTGGTAAAATGCTTTCAATATGATTCTCAATCTACTAGTAATGTCTAAAGTGGTGTTTAGATTATTTAACCTATCCTTACAAACAACTGTCGGATGCAACCGTTGCATCCGACCAAACCAACTCATACGGTGTATGATGTCATATCTGACTTTGCAATGAGAATTCCTGCTAATTTTCTTAAAGATATGGATTTTCTTGTTGCTTCAACATTCTCTAAAATTGATCTGTGATGGAATTAGAGTATAATAACTCTGTATAGGGAACATCAAATTTTGAGGAACCGGCGGCATCAAAATTACTCTTTTCAAACATTCTAGATCAAATGTCACCAGTGCGTTTGGAGCATTAGAACTATTGTATCGTGTAAACACCCTTCCGATATGTTGCTTTCAACTGTTGTATGAATTGTTTGTATCATGTAAACACAGCTTAAGACTAGAGCTATCCAAATACTAAACTACCAACTGAAAGAAGCAGTTATCATGTCAAATGTAATCAGGTAGTGAGAGAGAGAGAAATGGGGTTTAACGTCCACTCGACACAAACTAGGTCATTTCGGGACTAACATATGGTTTAATTTTATTTACATAATCCGCTTGCGAGTAGGGGTCTTTAGCAGTGAGAGGAAACCTGAGGACCCGGAGAAAACCCACGAGGTTGGACAGGCAACCCTTAATCAGGTAGTAGATCCTGACAATCACTGGAGGGTTGGATTATTGTGAATAGATTTCTATACATTTTTCTCTATTAAAAAGTTCCTCGTCAAGAATGGGGATAGATCAAAGATCCTGGTGAAGCCTGCAACCTGTCACAAGAAAGGATCTGCAGTGAATTTTCACTTGGTTTCTACAATCACTTCAAGGGATGGAGTAGAGCCAAACAATATTAACTTCTATTTGATAATAGTTCAAACAATGAGAAATGAAATGGGGTTTCATGTCATATTCTTCTTCCTGATTGACATAATGAAGATAAATTACTATATCACAGAAAACATATTTACAAACATATAACAGTAAACATGGAAAATTACTTTGCCCCTCCCCCCTATCAGCTCCAGCACACCTTAAGATGTTGATAGTTCTGATACACAATCCCGGCAATGGCAATACAACTGTGTCTGTAACCACGGCACAAGATACAGCTGTTACAGTATGCATCTGATTGCTCTTCATATTTTCGGTGCGTTATTTGCAATTTTTTGGGAAAATACGAAATTTTCCAGGCTAAAATGTACTTAAACTAATGATTCAAAATTTAATGAAACAAAAACAATATTGAAATATCAACAGTAGACAATAATAACCTTAGCCTTGATTCACTTTTATCAAGCATATATTCGTGCACAGGGAAATAAAATAGAAAACTTTCTTCGATAACTTATTTTTACCCAACGTCATGGTAACATGATTGGCTAAATTACCAACTGAAGGACAGAGGGTATTCTCTATTTTGCTTTATTAGGTACAAGCAAACAGACAAACATAAAAACATTCAGCCAAGCTTTAACATTACAACATACCATACACATAGCACCCCTATTCTAATGCATTTCTGACTAAAATTATTCTGATAGATGAAACTAAATAGTTAAGAATAATGTGGTATTTAAAACAGAGGGGAATAAAAATGATAATGAAACAAGAATGGTCATTTGAAAAATTATTTCACATGTTGGAAAATTTGAGAAAAAAGGAGATATTTAAATAGATTGTCCAGAATTTCTACAATATAAGCTAATATAGATGAAACTATATACAATAAGAATCATGTGGAATTTAAAACAGAGGGGGATAAAATGATTAAGAAACAAAAGTGGTCATTCATAAAATTAATTCACATGTTTGAGAAAAAAAAGAGATATTTGAATAGATTTTCCAGAATTTCTACAAAATTAGGTAATATAGATGAACCTAAATACAGTAGGAATTTGTGGAATTTAAAACAGAGATAAAAAAAGGATTAAAGGGGCATTATAGGACATTTCTTGTTAAAGTAGGTAAAAAATAGATAATAAACACAGAATATTAGAGATTCAATTTAAGGCTAGCCTCGAATCTCTTTACTATCACCGGTACGATAATAAACAAAGTCTCGAATATCCATTTTTACATTAAATCATCCATCACAAACCGTATTCAAATCAACTAAATATCTTAGGTTAACGATGGCATCAAGAGTTGATTATGGCCTTGATAAGTTAACATCTAATTAATAATTTAGATAACATTTCAGGCCAAAAAAGACATGCAATAGGCAGATTTAGCTCTTGCATAATGTATGTTTAAGAAACAGGATTGGTCATTCGAATAATAATGCTGGAAAGTTAGAGAAAAAAGAAACATTGGACTTAAATTTAGAAAAAAGAAACATTGGACTTAAATTTAGAAAAAACTTGGATGTTTTTAGATGACAGACAAGATAAATGACAACAATATGCAACAATAAGGGACGAATAAAAAGAAATTATCTATATGTCGGTTATGTAAATATTCAATCCATACATAGGCTAGTTATATATACAACAAGCTATATAGTTAATACACATATCTTACCTGTTGTTTGTGCACATGGATTATCATCTGAATAGAAAATGAAGAGGGGGTGCAGAAGCAAAATAATAATATTCTGATTATGGTTTGCATTTAGTATATGACCAAGTATTGATTGAATTATATATCAGAGTGTATTTTATATATCAGAGTGTATCAGAGTATATTGAGCATAATATATCAGAGTGCATTGTGCGTAATATATCAGAGTGCATTGTGTGTAATATATCAGAGTGTATTGTGTATGATATATCAGTGTATTGTGTATAATATATCAGAGTGTACTGTGTGAAATATATCAGTGTTTTGTGTATAATATATCAGGGTGTCCTGTGTGTAATATATCAAGCAATGAATATACATTATCTGTGTCTATTAGGTATCACAGTGTAGTGTTCATACTTTACTGTATCACAGTAATAAATTGTTTTAAAGATAAAATTTGCTTGGTGAGGAAATAACCCAAGCTATAAAATATCTATTAAAGAAGTCATATTTGTGTTACGTGATATGGCTGTCGCAATACCTAGGAACAGGTGTGAAGCTGGAGGAGAATTCATTGTATATAAAAGACAATGCTGTTCGGCTGCCAATTAGTGACGCCCTCTCATTTTTGTCCTGTGCACGTTCCATGGGTGTTTTTCAAGGAATCCAGTATTTTTCTAGTAAGATTGGGTGTCTCTACTTTCAATTCATACTAATATTGCCTTACTTTTATTGGAAATAACCACCCGATAAATACTTTAATGGGGAAATATCTTTAATGGCATTTATTAATCGAACTGGACATACACTGCTTGATAAAGACTAGAAAATCTTAGTTGAAACTTGGCTCAGTAATAGACAGTAATAGTATTCTACAGAATTGTGTCCTATGTACTGGTGTATCAAATATTATTAGCATTTATTGTGTATAACATTACAAAGTGTACAGTGCATAACATATCAGAATTGTGTCCTGTGTACTGGTATATCAAATATTATTATTGTGTATAACATTACAAAGTGTACAGTGCATAATATATCAGAGTTTAAACACAAGAGTCTACGCCACTGTAAAAGATATGAGAGCCAATCTCAGAAAAAAAACTGTGATACTAATATAGGTGTAAAAGTGAAGCCCATGTATTCATATATTGATAAGGAATAATAATGGGATATTTCAGGAACATTAAAGCCAGCATTGATGGTGAATTTCAAAACTAATTTCACAAACAAGCTATATTGGCAGTCAAAATAAAATACTATTTGACTTACTTGTTGCTATATCTTTATATGGAAACCTTAGTGTTGTGTTCACATCAGGAAAACTATCTGCTAAAGTAGTGTTTTGATAATATTCTACCAATCTCTGAAAAATCAATGAAAAATATTTGTCTTCTTTGTCTACAAATATTTGATCAGGTGGTCTTTCCCTCAAGAGGAAACCTTTTCCACTGTGTGCAGTATTGGAGAAACTTGATAACGTAAGAAAGACGACCAAAAAACATTTCACTGAGACCTTTATCTCTGGATTTTTCAGCGTGATTTTCCCCTGTCACTTGTTTAGGAAGCAGGGCCTTGCATTGCCTGGCAAGGAACAGCATGTAGTTGTTCAGATGGGATGAAAAATTGGTGTGCACGTACTAAACCCTTGCCAGTTGTAAATCAATGAAGAGTAGGCCGAAATGCTGCTGTCTGGGCAAAATTTTCTCTCATACAATAGGCTGGATTGATTAGGTCATTATATGATCAACGTATTTACCAAGTTTTACCGTCTATACACCTACCTTGATTAACTACTTAATCTGCCTTGATTGGCTGACTTATTAATACTTTGTTGAACAAATCATCAATCTAATCTTTAACAGAAGTCATTGCTTCTCTTTTGTCGAACTATGTATCAATCCAATAAGAGTGATTATAAACCTAATCTACGTGATTACCTTGTGATTTCTCTATTTTTTGGACAATTAGATCTTATCGATGTCCGCTGACAGCATATAAAAACTAGTCATAGATGTCACACATCCTAATAGTATATAACACCCCAAATCAAAGGACATGCCTGCAATATCACCCATTATAACTTTCAAAAAGCTCTGATTCTTATCTACTGCCTAGTCCTCTACCAAGAAAACGTGACGATGCTACGTGGTTCCACCTGACAACACATTTGCCATTACACACTATTTTCCATTCACAGTAGTTTGAATATGTATCAAACTCAGAGAGAGAGAGAGAAGAGATAGAGAGGGAGAGATTAATGCCCATTCGACACAAACTAGGTCATTTCGGGACTAACATATGGTTCAATTCTATTATAATAATTCGCTTGTGTGAAGGTGTCTTTAGCAGTGGGAGGAGACTGGAGGACCCGGACAAAGCCCACAAGGTTCGACAGACGACCCTACTCCTTGTCACATACATCCGGGGATTCGAAACCACGCCAGTTGACTCAATGACAGGCTTTATGATACAGCACGAACAAGCTAACCATTTGGCCATCCAACCCCCCAGGTTGTAAGAATTACCACATTAAAGGGGAAGTTACTTTTAACAGTAACTGAAAATAATGTACTTACCGGAACCGAATCAAATAGTTTATTTTCAACTAAGTAGAATTTTCCTTTATTTTCATTGAGTTTTATGTGACGCACTGCATTCGCATATCTGAAATAACCAAATAAATATCATTTAATCAAAAATCAAAATACACAGGAATCAGGCCTGGAAATAACGGTTTTAGATATATATATACCTGACAAAATGTCAAGCACTAATGAAATAGTACCTGACATTTTCAACTTAGTGCTGGACATGTATTAATAATATCAATAAACCAGCGACTGCCAGGCAGGATACGCCCACATTTTCGAGAGATGGATAGAGAACAAGCTAAAAAGAAAGTGATTTTTCCTACAATCCAGGGCCACAATTCAGGAAATTACAATTCGATATGCGCAAATATCGAAAGGAACCAAGATCTTTGTGTTATAAACTTACATTTCAAGTTTCAACAAAATCAGATCAGAATTGTGACCTCCATAGGATCGACAACCTTGATATACCATATTTTTACGCTACTTGAGAACGAACGGCGGCCATTTTGTCTGTCAATTTTGGGGCGATTTTCACAAAATTCAAACTCAACTGTCCTTAGGGTGGAACGGTAATATTATGACCTCTAATGGGTCCACAAGCTAAAAACATGATTTTTCGTACAATCAGGGGCCATAATTCAGGAAGTTATGGTCCGATATGGGCAAATATTGAAAGGAACCGAGATCTTTGGGTTATAAACTTATATTTCAAGTTTCAACAAAATCGGATAAAAATTGTGACCTCTATAGGGTCCACAACCTTGATATACCATATTTTTACGCTATTTGAGAATGAACGGCGGCCATTTTGTCTGTCAATTTTGGGCTGATTTTCATGAAATTCAAACTCAGTCATCCTTAGGGTGTAACGGTGATATAATAATACGTTTTTTTAAATCGGATAAAAATTATGACCTCTATAGGGTCCACAAGCTAAAAACACGATTTTTCGTACAATCAGGGGCCATAATTCAGGAAATTACGGTCCGATATGCGCGAATATCGAAAGGAACCGAGATCTTTGGGTTATAGACTTACAATCCATGAAGTTTCGATCCGATACATGCCAATATCGAAAGCAGCAGAGATCTTTTGGAGATAAACCTATATTTCAAGTTTCGTCAACATCGGATAAGAATTGTGACCTGTAGAGTGACGGATGTCCGGACGGACAGGAGCGACGACAATATACGTCCACATGAAAATGTGGGCGTATAAAAAGACAAATAAGTGCCAGACAAAATGACAGGCACCAGAGATTTAGTGCCTGACAAAGCCTGAATCTGTGCCTGACATTGTCTGTGAAAGGTGCCTTATTTCTAGGAATAGGTTTTATTTCATTTTACAATTATAAGGCTACACTTACTTAATACTTAGTGATAGTAGACCATTCCTTGCTGGGTTAATACTTTTTCTGATGAGAAATGCACCATCTTGGCAACCATCGAGATTAGCATGGGCAATATCACGTTCCATTGCGTCAACATACCTAAAAGTCAATCATTTTTTTAAACAAAAATCAGAATTCCATAAGGTTGATTTCAACTCTGGAGCCACCGTAAAAAATAAAACAAGGCCAATTAAATCAATTAAATCTTTAATCTATTCACGACATATGCAGATTAAGATATATATTTTCTTTTTAGATCAGTTGAGTTTTGCAAAATTTATTTGTATTTTGGGGTTGTGTTTTTTATGACAAAGAACTGCATGAGTCTGAATCATTGTATCAAACTACGCTTTTTTCTTAACATTTTTTTATAATTAAATACCTAATTCACAAACTCATTTACGATAATCCTATCATCAAGTTGCATTAAAATCTGACTTTCACTTATTTAAAGAAACATTATGGAAGATTAGATAAAGAGCTGGCAGTTCTCACTATAATAGTTAAAAACTAGATACTGTAAATGGAATATACTGAAAATTTCAGTCAAATTGATCCACTCTGAACCAAGATTTTAGTGATTGAATTTTCAGATTAGCCTCTATCATCATTACTAAAGTCGGTATGATAAAAAAAACATAGTCTCTATTATCCATTTCAAGATTAAATCATGAATGAAAGTTGAGCAGCAAATCAGATCCTAATCCAGTAAATATTGCAGGCCAGCAATGAAATTGAGTTGTTGATTATGGTCTGGATAAGTTAACTAATGTTTAATTAATAATTTATATAACATTTAAGGCCTAAAGAAAGACCTGTAATGGGCAGATTTAGCTCTTGCCTAATGTATAATGTATGTTTAAACTATAAGTGTGTAAACGTTTACTGAAAACACAACTAGTTCTCCGTCTGCCAGTGATGTCACAAACTTAATCATTAATTTAATGTGGCATGAACATGTGGACATACAAAAAGTTTTTTTAAAAGTCAGTTCCATTGAAAAAAGGTGGACTATCTGGTCTATCTCCTTCAAGAAGGAAGCTAAATAAATAAATATGTTATCTAAAATAATCTTAAATATTTTAAGGAATATTGCTAAAAAGATGAATCTGCAATGAAGTAGGGTATTATAAATAGATAAAAAAAAACTAAAGACATCACTCACTACATGCTGAACAGCAGGTAGAAGGAGTGAAAATCAAAAATCAAAAACTGCAAACGATCCATGCTTTGGAATTCGATAATAATACAAAAGAACAATGTCTAGATGTTTTTTTTACAAAATAAAGTAAAATCACTTTCTCATTTGATATATTTTTAATAGGAAAAGATAGGATAAATCGGATTCATCACACAAGTTAATGATAAAGTAAAATCACATTCTCATTTGAAATATTTTTAATAGGAAAAGATAGGATAAATCGGATTCATCACACACTTTAATGATAAAATAAAATCACATTCTCATTTGAAATATTTTTAATAGGAAAAGATAGGATAAATCGGATTCATCACACACTTTAATGATAAAGTAAAATCACATTCTCATTTGAAATATTTTTAATAGGAAAAGATAGGATAAATCGGATTCATCACACAAGTTAATGATAAAGTAAAATCACATTCTCATTTGAAATGTAGGATAAAAGATAGGGTAAATCATCACACACTTTAATGATAAGGGGAACACACAAAGGTTAGAAAATAGAAATAAAAAATCTTTTTCTAAGATTTTTTACAAGATAAAACATAAAAAAATGAAAAAAATTACTCTTTTGAATTTTTCTTAATAAAGAATAAATACTATTAGTTGTTATGTATCAATCTGACCAGCATTAGATATCAATTTAACAAAAAAAACTAAAAAAATCAAACAAAACATCAACTCCTTATCCCTGCCCCTTTCCAAACAAAAGAAGAAAAAAAAAAAGGTCTGCCACTTTAAGATCATCTGTGGCCAGTAATTCTACTGTGTTGCTATAGAGAGAGAGGAGAGAGAGAGAGAGAGATGGGGTTTAAGGTCATTTCGGGACTAACATCTGGTTCCAATTCTATTTCAATACTTCTCTTGCACGTAGGGGTCTTTAGCAGTGGGAGGAAACTGTATGACCCAGACAAAACCCACGAGGTTGAACAGGCGACCCTACTTCCTGTCATGTACAACTGGGGAATCGAAACCAGGCCAGTCAGTTGACTCAATGACAGACTTTTTTTATTTAACGTGCACGCACTAAAAATTTGGTCATCCAACCCCCGCCCCCCTGCCTATTCAGTTGGTATTCAACAGTGATGTGTTGCTATGCAACAGTGATTGGGGGGTGAATAAGAGAAACATGTGAACGTACCAAGGATATGTTTCTAAAGCTTTTGAGGGGGTGCTAGAGCCATTATGAGAGGCAGTTGATTCTTGTCGATCGAACATCATGAATCCCCCGTTACTTGCACCCGAACTCTTCACATCAATGTAGGAGGCTTTCCGCGTCTGAAACAAAATCTATGCTAGTCACACCAAAATGCACCAGAAAAATAAAGCAAGGCTATTGCTTGGTCAGATAACAATTGAATTCGTTAATTTTGGATGTATCCCGATATATGTTAATAACTTTGTGTATCGAAATTCAATTAAGTTCAAATATAATATCAAATAAATGCAAAGATTTTCAAAGTCATTGACGATGATTTAAGAGATTTTGAATTCATTTTAAACTACCATAATGTGAAAGTTGAATCTTTAAAAGGAATATCAAGTATTATTGTTACCATAATTCAATTCAAAACGACATCCAAAAGTATAAAATTGTTATTTGATCAATGAGGGTTAGTATTTGAGCATAACATGTAACAGAAAACCATATATGGGTATATTTTTTATATTGGGTTGTCTTATTACCATGGATACAATGATAAATCTGATGAGGTTATATTACTCCGATTTGGTACAATCTCTGTTTTCTTATCTTTTATTGTTGCTTGTTCGTATTTCTGTGAGCTGGCAGTATCCGTTGAATTCTGATTAAAATATCTAGATTAGACTTGCACTTTATCTCATTATTAAAATCATATTTCAATTCATTCTAATCGTTGTTATCTCCCTTGATACTACAGTACGAAAGAGGGAGAAATGGGGTTTAACATCCACTTGACACAAATTAGGTCATTTTGGGACCAACATATGGTTCAATTTTATTTCAATGATTCGCTTGTGTGTAGGGGAAACAGAGAAAACCTATGAGGTTGGACAGGCAACCCTACTCCTTGTCACGTACAACCAGGGAATCGAAACCACGCCAGTTGAGTCAATGACAGACCTTATGATACACAGCGCATGTGCTAATCATTCGGCTATCCAACACCCCTACTACAGTACAATCTAACAACATCTTTAAGAAATTTGTGTTCAACAGACCTTAATTGATCCCTCAAATAGCCAATGAAAGGATGTTTTTCTGTTAGCAAACATGGTTTTAGCCAATCCTAGCATCTCAAATCTGACTTCAACAAAAACAGATATAGCAAGATCTGTTTTAAAGTAAATTTAACAACATATCCAAGTTGGAACGATAAAAATAAAAATGAAATGGGGTGTAACGTCCTACTGTTCTGCTCCGACCATGTATAAGCCTGGAGAAACCCTCACTGTTAGGTAGGCAACCCTACTCCCAACCATGTACAAGTCTGGAGAAACCCACACTGGTATCTAGGCAACCCTAATCCTGGTCATGTACAAGCCTGGAGAAACCCACACTGTTAGGTAGGCAACCATACTCCTGATCATGTACAAGAAACCCATATTGTAACAACCCTAGACTGTACTGCAATAAACATAAACCTATTCTTCTTTCAAACTTACCACTGTTTTTGTAAGGTCTACACAATCTGCCAAAAAATGCCCTTCTTCACCACGGAAACGACCCTATAATAGTTAATGATCGTATTATAAACAACATTTTTAAATTCATTCTATAAATATCTAATCAATTTGTCATGGTATATCAATCACAAAAAAGATCAAAATCACACTTAAAGTTTTCAAATTCACGCACTTCATCTCAATGTATCTATAAATAATAGCGATCATATCAAATGCTGATTTTACATTTCAAATATCAGCATTTGTGTGAGCTCATGACCTGTAAATGTGCAATAAAATGGTCATTACTGCTGACTTGTATCCATGTGTTTCTTAGAAACATGTGTGATAAGAGGCTATATTGTGTTGTCTGGGAAAATTTTTTTTATTCCTGTGTCTTAGTCATCGCCTAGGTTCGCTATTGATATGTCAGGCCAAAGTCATCATCTGACTACCATTCAAATCTATGATTCAAGTATAAAATATGATACGACATGATACCTAAAAAAAAAACCCAAAAAACATAAACAACAAATCCCAGATGATTATTGTTATCAGATCAAGGTCCACAAATACCGGCAATACTATATACCGGAAAACAACCGGAAAACACCATTTTATAGCGAATACCGGAAAACACCGGAAAAACACTAAATACCGGAAAACACACTAGATACCAGAAAATACCCTAAATAGGTCACCCGGAGACTGGCACCCTAAATAGGTAACAGGGAGCCTGGGTTAGGGTTAGGGTTAGTTTCCGGTTTATAGTATAGCCCTTCTCAAGGTTACCTATTTAGGGTGGTTTCCGGTATTTAGTGTGTTTTCCAGTATTTAGTGTTTTTCCGGTATTCAGTATAACATGGTGTTTTCCGGTAGTTTTCCAGTGTTTTCCGGTATATAGTATAGCCCCACAAATACCCTGAAAGAATGCAACATCGGTAATGGAAAAAATGCAAAAAAATCAATATAAAATTGCTGTACCTTCCAAAACATTTGATTACTTCTATCAAGAATTTCTATTACATCGTTAACGTTAAATTTCAATGCTTTGTGACCATTGGGTGGTGGCTGACCGGTATATGCTTTACGGGCTTTAGCTTTTTGAACAGTAACTGAAATAAATCAGAATAATAACATTTCATACCCCTTTAACAAGCTATTGCATGCTTTCAAACGAAATGAAATTGGTTTTGATGTTTTATTTTTCTGCAGGGACGGAGGGCCTGACAAGGACAGCTATCTAGTTTTTCGAATGGTACGAAAAACCGAGGTCCTGTGTACACATTGGCGTGCACGTAAAAGATCCCTTGACAGTTGGAATTCAATATAAGAGTAGGCAGTGGAGGCACTGTCCGGGCAAAATTTCCCACACTATATGGCGTATGCCAGTCTTCATTAGCCCAGTTCGGAGCAAAATGGTGGGACGTTAAACCTCATTTCATTTTTCTGCAGACGTGCTATGTAGTTTTGCCGTGATAGTGATGTTACAGTGTACTCCTATTTTGATTTCCATCCGTTGGGAGATGTTAATGTAATGTAAACAATACACACAGGGATCTAGATTTTTCAGGACCACATGCGATACCCAGTGACAACTGAGAACTGGGCTTGAATAATCCTGATGGATCTTCTTTGCATCACTACTCAACCCCTGTGCCCCCCCCCCCTTCCCCTCCCCCGACTACCAAAGAAATTGACCAGTTAATAAATTTTTACATGATATACATGACATAAAGCAGTGATATAAATAATACAATCCACGATGATTCAATTAGGTTTTTTTTTAGCAAATACACGTAAAAATAGTCCTCTTCTCTGTAACGATGAATTAATTATGTGAAAAACTAAATGACTATTGAAATTGATATCTTTACCTGTCAATTCAATAGATATAAGAATATAAAGCATTTTAATGTTGTTTTCCAATTAATTATAAAATGTTCCACTAACATTTCTGTTATAGGATTAAAGATGACCCTAAAAAGGTATATAGTACTTGAACCTATCTTGGAGAATATTTCTACCTCCAAAACTATGTCTATATTCTTATTAAAACTTGTAGATTTTTTAAAGAAACAAGCAATAGCTACATTTATGTCTTCTAACTAAGTAAAATGAACTGAAACTTTACCTTGCCCCTTCTCTGATCTCGGTGGCCTAGCTGGCGCTGTAAATAAATTAATGATAGCAGAAGATAAAAATACTTCCACCAAATGCAAGCCTACACCAGCACACGAAATTATTACTTCACGTCAACCCATCAGAAGGAGAGAGAAAGAAATGGGGTTTAACGTCCACTCGACACAAGCTAGGTCATTTCCGGACTGACATACAGTTCAATTTTATTTCAATAATTCACTTGCTCGTAGGGGTCGTAGCAGTGAGAGGAAACCAGAGAACCTGGAGTAAACCCACAAGGTTAGGCAGACGACCCTACTCCTGGTCACGTACAAGCAGGGAATCAAAACCATGCCACTTGACACAATAACAGACCTTATGATCCAACGTGCTTAAAATTTTAAAACCCAGTTCCTACCCGCACCTCATTTGACCCAATTCTGGCCGGTTCTTTTCAAATTGGATTAAGAAACCTGCGTTATACCATTCGGACATCCAACCCCTCTTCTAGGTGAGAGTTCTCCCAGTGCCCCGACTGATCGCCTCTCCCCACCCCACCAATTTTAGGATTTATGGGTTAATCACTCTCCTTCTTTATTTCGTTGGGTCATAATAATTTCTTGATTTAAAGTGTATCTAATATTAGTTTTCTACATCTAAAGGCAATTTCTTCATCTTTCTCTGGAGTTTAAGGTGATATCACAGAAAAATCTTGCCAAAACAGGACAGGATAGTTGAGGCAATGTAAAAAGGAAATTGTTGTCCAGATAAAAATAAATAAGGAACAGTCAACAGGAATCTAACAATGAATATAACCATATCAGGACACTGGAGATGGTTGTAAGTTGGGGAGGGAGAGGGAGAGGGAGAGAGAGAGAAAGTGACTTCAGGACTAACATATGTTCAATTCGCATGCGCATAGGGGCTTTGGCGACCCTACTCCTTGACATGTATAACCAGGGAATAGAAACCACGCTAGTTGACTCAGTGACATAGGCCATCCAACCACCTGTGGCAAGTAGGTGCTGGCTAATCAATGCTGCCAATAGTGGGACAACACGTTTCTTGGCTTTATATTCGAACATTTCCTTGTCATTGTCACCTTTGCAGACATCTTGGATAGTAGCTCTGCTCACTAGCTAGCTATACTTGAACGCTACTTGGACATTGTTGCCTTAGCCAATGGCTTACTAATACATTCTTGAAAATAATTGCTGTTGATTTTTATCTAGGCTATTAGAAAGGCTAAATCTATCTATATTAGGCGTACAACACTTAGCCTGTACAAAGCACAGATACGTAAATTGTAAACAAAAATATTTCTTAAAATTCTACCAAAAATAATTCTAGCAGCTAATGATCAATACTGTTATAAGCTTAACATTTGTCAAAAAGGCTAAATCGAGATTCTTTGCAATGAAAGTCTAAAAATCTTTCCAACTTGTGACAAAAGTCCTAAAAAAATATTCTAATATCTTTAACTATATCTACAAAGCAAACTTACGTTTAATTTGTGATTCTTTCCCGATACATTCTTTATGAACTGCTTTTTTTGAATCTGAAATGAATTTTCATCAAAACACAAAATACAGATTTGAGGGATTTTTATTGCTTGAAAAATACTATGTTAAACATACATTATGCAAGAGCTAAATCTGCCTATTGCAGGTCTTTCTTTAGGCCTGAAATGTTATCTTAATTATTAATTAGACATTAATTAACTTATCCAGACCATAATAAACTCTCAATGTCATCGCTAGCGTGCAATATTTACTAGATTAGGATCCGTTTTGCTGCTCAACTTTCATTCATGATTTAATCATAAAAAGGATAATCGAGACTATGTTTTTTATCTTACTGACTTTAGTAATGATGATCGAGGCTAGGCCAAAAATTCCATCGTTAAATTCTCGGTTCAGGGTGGATCAATTTGACTGAAATTTTCAGCAAATTCCCTTTACATTATCTAGTTTTTAACTATTATAGTGAAAAGTGCCAGCTCTTTATTCAATTTCCCATAATATATCTTTAAGAAAGTTGAATCTCAGTTTAAAATGGTTCAACTCTACTCAGTATTTACAAAGGTTATAATACATTTAAAGTGAATTTACCTTGACACAGATAGCCTTGGAAGAAAATACCCCTGTAAAAAAAAAAAAAAATTCATATTATATTATCATATACAAAATTAAGGGGTAGGAGTTTTATTGTATATATTGTATATAATGCCTTACTCTAAGGAGGAGTAATAATCACTTATAGTGGGGGGATTATGACTAAATAATGACCTAAGTTACAGTATATAACATAGAGTAGGAGGATCATGACTAAAAGACTTAGGTTACAGTGGAGAAGTAGGAAGATCATGAATAAATGACTTAAGTTACAGTATATAAGGAGGATCATGACTCAGTAATGACTTAGGTTACAGTATATAAGGAGTAGTAGGATGATCATGACTCAGAAATGACTTAGGATACAGTATATAAGGAGTAGTAGGATGATCATGAATAAATAATGACTTAGGTTACAGTGGAGTGGGAGGATCATAAATAAATGACTTAAGTTACAGTATGCAAGGAGGAGTAGGAGGATCATGACTATATAATGACTTAAGTTACAGTATATAAGGAGGAATAGGAAGATCATGACTATATAATGACTTAAGTTACAGTATATAAGGAGGAGTAGGAGGGTCATGACTATATAATGACTTAAGTTACAGTATATAAGGAGGAGTAGGAGGATCATGACTATATAATGACTTAAGTTACAGTATATAAGGAGGAGTAGGAGGGTCAGGACTATATAATGACTTAAGTTACAGTATATAAGGAGGAGTAGAAGGATCATGACTATATAATGACTTAAGTTACAGTATATAAGGAGGAGTAGGAGGATCATGAATAAATAATGACTTAGGTTGCAGTATATTATAAGGAGGAGTAGAAGTGGTTCTGTAAAAACTTAACTTACCTAAGTAGTTTACCACAAACATCACATTCTCTGGGTTTTTCAAATGTATACATAATAAAATTCTGGCCTGCTGCTGGTTGTGTATTGTCTCTGTATACAGAAAAATTTAAGAAAATTGGTGGTGTTTTACAAAGAGTGAAAACTGCACAGAAAACATCAAGATTGTGATTGCAAAGATTGCAACGATGGCTTTTACTTCAAAATGTTGCCAAATTAAACAGATTTCTACAAACAATTAATCATCATCTTTTTTTGGGACATAAAAAATCTGATTTTCAACCTCGGACCTTTTATTTGAACAGGAAACCTAATTGTGTTTACTTACAGCGCCATCTGGATTGAATCCAACCATTTCTGTCTTGATTCTTCTGTTTTGGCAAAAAATGTATAAGCTGTTCCTTGACATTTTTGAAATAATATAAAGGGCCAGTTCCACTGAAATAAAATGAAATAGGGATTTAATGTCCAAGTATTCTGCTAAGGAGGACAGTAATCAGCCATTCAGTGTTCTATGAGGGAAAGTTTGCCTCGCCAGCTGCATTTTCTCACCAACTGTTAAGGGTTCTTGAACTTGTACCTTGAACCTCAGTTCTTCATCCCAATCAAATGACTGACAAGGAGACTCAATATCATACTGAGAATTCCCAAAGAACTATCTCAGCCAAAACCGGCATTGATCCAGGGACCATAAGGTCTACGCAACCTAAATCAGGATTCAAACCAAGACATTCTATATTCTTCATAGGAGGTCAATTTTCATAACCTTACATCCACAGCTGCACTCAGCGAATGGCAAACTTACATTTTTAGAACTTTTACTCTGATTATCATTTTTAGGTTGACTGTCATCTACTTTAAATTCACCGAGTACAATCGCATCTTTAAAACTGTATGTTTCACTCTGAAGGAGAAAAATAAAAAAAAACTTTTAAAAAAAACTTTTAAAAAGAAACATAAAAATTTATTTGTCCCCAAAACAGTCAAATGATTTCTAAGAATGGAATAATTTCTCGAACTCGGAATGAGCACATGGTTCTCATTTCTACCATAGGTTACACAGAAGCAAATCCTTTTTGATTACGGTTAAAATAAAATTTAATTCATCATATCTTTGTAAATACTGTACGGAATTGAACCATTTTTGGACTGATATTCCTGTTAGAGATTCCACTTTCACAATATTATACCATGCAAGGGATTCATCCTCAATCCCTCAAATGATGTTAAGAGGCTTTAATTGATTTAACAGATCAAGATCAGACCGATACAGTTTCTTCTGATCTAAATCAGAGATAGCTATCTCCTGCGACATTATCATGTCTAAGGGCCTAGGTTTTCAAAATTATAACATTCTGAGAAATTTTCTTTGACTGCTCTTTAACCCAAAGATAGAATCATATAGAAATTTGTGAGTTGCAATATAAATTGGACATACAATATTTGGATTTGTGCACTTTGAAAACTGCGTTATTTCTACAAAAATCGAACAAAAAATGTTTTTCTAATTTCAAACTTTCGATAATACAAGATTCATGGTGAATTCTAAATTCTAAAATCTTACTCTATCAAGTCCACAAGCAACTACATAGATCATTTATTAAAATTTTGTGCCAGAATTTAATTCATCAAGAAGCTACAATAAGGTGTAAAACCTGTATAATTTAACCCGAATATCACATTATCTTATCTTCTTCTAAAATTATTGGATTGAATTTCGATCGTGATTTATACATGCATGTATTATTGTAATTAGAAAGGGTTATATTGTCAAGATACAAGGTGTGTCTATTGTAGGGAAATTAGAAACATTCATTTTTTTTCCATGCAATTAAAGATTTAATGTTATATTGTTATTTTATATCAGGGTGTTTTATTGCATGCCAATAGGCCTTCAATGAAACTTCAGTCTATAAAATAGTATAATTATCTCCCCTAGCATGGGATATAATGGATGCTTGACTGTCAGTCTGGAATTCAGTAATGTCACAGTTCTTCCATTTCCGACAATGAAGGTGTTGTGAGTAGAATTGTGACATAATTAAACACAACAAAATTTTCAGCTGTAGGTTGGTTGAGATATATTCTTATTCACTCTGCGCATACGTTGTGGCCCGAATTCCCCCTTTTCACTCGATTGTCACGATTTTGGGGGTTTGGAGAATTCAATTCAAGAACACTTTGAGGAAATCTTTGCTGGACTCTGGTAAAACGGGCTACTCAAATTTCAACTGCTAAGGCTTCTTTTAGGTGCATGCCTATGTACACACAGGACATCGGTTTTCGTGCCATCCAAACCACACCGGAAAATCCTGATGAACTTTCACGGTCAACATAGGGATCAAATACAGGACCTCCAGGTTGTATATGTCCCCCTAAAGCGTCTTTATTTTGTCACTGGGTTATATTTGGCAAATATGTCCCCCTAAAGCGTCTTTATTTTGTCACTGGGGTAAGGCAATTCTTCATATGAATAAATTTCATGGTTGAAACTATTTCAGTAATTCTGAACAAGTCGAATAATTATTTTTGTGTCAGATGGACGGATGGACAGAATAAAATAATAAAACATCCATAATTTTAATGAATAGAAAATTACGGATGGTAGCAACCTGGTAACAGAAAAAAACAAAACATAGTCTTCTTTTACAGGACAGAAGTTTCCATGAGAAGATGATGACGAGAAGAAGAGAAATGATGGATAGATGAAAGTTACAATTAGAAATGAACAAGCCTGGAAATAAGCCACCTGTCACCAAAAATTTCTTTGGAGCCTTACATGTTGCTAGACACAAATTTCCATCTATCATTTGTTCATTTTGATGGATTTAAAGCATGTCTGGCAAAAAGCTATAATTCATTCAAAAGTAGTCATTTCCAGACTTGTATTATAGAGAGATCTATGTTCTAGACATGTACATGCTATATATAGACAGACACCTGCTTGATATACTTATTACACATTTTATAACCTGACTATAAATAACAAAACAGATATTTATGTCTTTGTTCTTTTCATTAACCGGTAATTAAATAGCTTATTTTACACCTAGCATTTTACATATAGAATTTTACATGTAGCATCTTACATCTAGGATTTTACATACAGATTTTACGTGTAGCATCTTACATCTAGCATCTTACATATAGTTTTACGTGTAGCAACTTACACCTAGCAGTTTACATATTGATTTTAGGTGCAGCAACTTGCACCTAGCATCTTACATATAGATTTTACGTTTAGCATCTTACATATAGATTTTACATCTAGCATCTTACATATAGATTTTACATCTAGCAACTTACACCTAGCATCTTACATATAGATTTTACGTATAGCATCTAACATAGATTTTATATGTAGCATATTACATATAGATTTTAAATGTAGCACCTTACATCTAGCATATTACATATAGATTTTACGTGTAGCACCTTACATATAGATTTTACGTGTAGCACCTTAATTACATCTAGCATATTACATATAGCATCTTACGTATAGCATCTTACATATAGCATCTTACATATAGATTTTACATCTAGCATCTTACATATAGATTTTACGTGTAGCACCTTACACCTAGCATCTTACATATAGATTTTACATCTAGCATCTTACATATAGATTTTACGTGTAGCACCTTACATATAGATTTTACGTGTAGCACCTTAATTACATCTAGCATATTACATATAGTATCTTACGTATAGCATCTTACATATAGATTTTACATCTAGCAACTTACACCTAGCATCTTACATATAGATTTTACGTATAGCATCTTACATATAGATTTTATGTGTATCATCTTACACCTAGCATTTTACATATAGATTTTACTTGCAGCATCTTTTACATATTATTTATTTTACGTGTAGCATCTTACACTTAGCATTTTACATGTTGCATTTTACTCATAGATTTTGAATGAAACGTTATGGTGTTTAAGTGATACTTTACACCCTACATTTTACACAAAGATTTTACATCCACAATTGTCCGCCCAATAAGTGCTATCCCTGGTATTCTCGTTGGTTAACGTCAGGGTTGGAAAATATTATATTCCAGTTGAGAGTCCACTGCCCTAGCTGCTCGACTACCATGGCTCGCTCCATCATGTGATTGGTGGAATTTTGAATTCACAATGGACCAATGAAGATGATTTGTAAAGCAAGCCAAAAAGGAGGGAATAAGCAATGACAGTTCTGCTAATAATCAGCCAACCCATCACAAATGCGATTTAACAGCCATAATAGGTCATTTCTGAACTTGCTCTTTGGGTTCTTTATAAATGGAAGGAAACCCAGAAGACCCAAAAGAAAACCCTGATCTTCACATACAAGCCTGGGATCAATGACAGGCCTTATAATCTAAAGTGCATGCAATAGTCAACTGTAGACTACGATAGACAACCCGTAACCATTTACAGCTGGGTATCGTAGACATAGTTGATATGGCAAGATAAATGAAGACGGGTTATGGCTTGATAAGCAGATGATCAGTTGATCGCGAGCAGGACAAGACAATGTAGATGAACGGCATACTATTATCTCTAAATAAATTCTTGTCATTTTCTTGAGGTGAATCAATTTTAATAAATCTTTTCATGCAGTTAAAGTACATATAAAATCATTACAATAAAAAAGCTACTAAAGTATTTGTAAATTCTGCTGCTTGATTTCATTATAAACATAAAAAATAATTTTAACAATCAACCAAATATGCAGATGATAAATATGAACAGGTATTCAAGCAGGCGCAAACCAAATTAGGATTTCAAATTATAAATTAATGTTACATATATATATATATATATGAGTTATTTATTATAATTATATATATTTTATTACATTTAATATTAATAAAACATTGTAGGATTCTATCAAAGCCTAAATAATACTAATAAGCCAAAAATTAAAAAAATGTTTCTAAAAATCAATGTTTTATCAATATAACAACAAACAAAGATGGCTGCTATGTGAGGGGGAAAGGGTGGTAACTCTGTGCTAAATATGATGCAAAAGATGGAGGAAGAATGATGCTGAAATAAAGAATAGGCTGTTTGGAGAATTTCTAATCTCATCGACCAGAGGTTTTATTAACAATGACTCTTGTCTTTTAATTTTTGACTTTTCTCAGTTCTGTTTTTTTTTTAATGAAAATTTAGAGTATTTCCATCATTCATGAATCATGTTATACAAAAATGTAGGAAATTTGTTAAGTTGTGTAAATATCATACATAACATTGAATTTAAATCTGAATAAAAATCCTTAAATTTTGTACTTGTTGCATGCAAATAGGCACTCCCAAAAACACAAACAAATGTACTCTAAGAGCTAAACTTTTAAACCCATTTCATGCACAATCGACCAATCAAGAATTGGCAATAACATTCGTGATCATCCAAAAAAAAACACACACTGTGTACGTATGGTAACTGCTGGAAACAAAAGAGCATGCAACCTATCCCAAGAGCCACTGTTAATATAAAAACATCAAGTCGTTTTGAGGTAATCTCGTATTATGTGCTGAAACGTCTAATTTCTTACCCAAAGGATTTTATCCACCATCTAATAAATGGGAGGCAGAAAAAAGAAAAATGTGAACAAAAGCAGTTGGTAAATAAATACAGAAATGTAGTTAAAACTGGTGAGTTTTTAAGGGGAGGTAAACGTGTTTTCAAACACTGCCTGCCAGACTGTGTTAGCTTTTTTAATAAAGTAATGATGCGTCATTTACATTTTTCGCTAAATTATGAAATTTGTCAAGGATTTATATTCCACACTAATATGTTCTAACATTGAATCAATCTGATTAAAACATAGATCCTATTTCGTTTTGTTTTTTTTATAGTTCAAAATTTCGTTTTACTTGTCTTTACTACACTAGGATCTGGAAGAGTTGTTATATAAATCGCGTTCTGCTTGGTATGAGGGATGAGCCAATGAAACGGTCTGTTGCAGTGATGCACGGAACTGTGGGTATTCCACTAGAAACATCAACGATGATTGGTTAATCAAATGTCTGACGTCATAGTGACAAAAGTCGCTTATGACACCTGACCAGACCTCCCACTACAATTGGTCTGATCTTCATGTAGTAGAGGCCATCGAAAGTATAAAAAAACGAAACGAAATATAGATCTGTATATTAATCAGATTGAACATTGATTAATTAACATGTGCTTGCCTCTATGTTTGTAAAATACTGAATGAAGTTAAACCATTGTTGGGCCGATACTCCTATTAGGGATTCAACTTTCACATTGTAGATTGCAAGTGATTCCCATAGCGTAAAATGACGCATCTAAACTTTAAGCGCAAGTTATATTGTCACGGTGCTATCATGATTGGCTTGGCCCCAGATTAAAGTTTGCTTATAGATCTGCATACACTGGTTTACAAATCGCAATTTTGCTTGTGCCCTCAAACTACATATCCTTATTTATCCAACATGTATGTTCACTTCCTAATCAGCATAATAATAGGATTTTGCTTGAAACCCACTAGCGAAATCTCAAGAACACTAACCAAGTTTCCTCTTATCTTTATTATATTTCCAATCGCTAAATGGCCCTAAGGTTTACAGAAATCTTAATGAAACATGTAATAAAGCAAAGCAGGTATTTGATTCAAGGATTATAATAAAACATTTCTAAAATGAGTAAAATCGTACGTCTGAAAAAAAAAAGAGGATTACTTCAAGGAATTTTTTTATTTCCAATTAGAAGAAGTGAAATTGCGCTTTGTAACCAATGGTGGATAGACTCCAGGTTTATTGAGTTTCAATGCTATTTGGTTCTATACACCTCACTGAAAGCACTTTGTTTTTCAAAAACCTACTGTCTTCTGTTAACTCATCGACTTTCACTTTTTTCTTAACTTCTGTACAGTAAGGAATTAATTGGAATAGTCCAATAATAATGGATTGTCGTTAATGCCTATGTTTAATTTTTATTTTTTATAGAGGCCTTTGCATTGATTTCTAAAAAAAGTTCTTCTGAAGCCTTTTTTAAGAACACTTAAAACTAAAATAATTTAACTGGTTAGGGTTAAAAAGTTTATCGATGAAGCCTTTTCACAAGTTATGTTAAAAATCCTCGACATTAGAGATTTCAGCTCTTGGTCAATGAAAAAGACAGTATTCACAAAATATCAAAGTTAAATATAGCTACTGCTCTAACAATGAAAGTTTTAAACATTTTTATACTATCAGTTATCTATAGATATTGTTGTCTTTTAATAAGTTTTTCAGAGGATTTTAACCATAATTGAGTAACAATTCTTTATTTAGGGAGATTTATATTTCTTTAATCAACATAATTGATATTTCCTGATACAATCTAACGAGAATAATTGTATTTCAATGAATGAAATGGGGTTTAACATCCTACTTTTCTGCCTAATAGTATTGCAATGAGTATTACAGGTATTTTTAACCATGGTCGTACAACAAATCTTTACTTAAGGCATTTTTTTTCCCCCCATTAATTTTCGTAAACCACAATTATAGTATTGTACGAATTGTTAATCTAGAGGGATTTTTTTCCATTAATCTTAATGAAATCTAACCACAATGATTTTTTTGACCACCTTCAATTTAAATGATATTGTATTTAATACATGATGCGAATGGCATTAGTTAAGAACGAAAACGAACTAGTAATTCCGATATAACATATGCAAGATATAAAACTAACAGACCTATTCTAAACCTATTTATAAAAAAAAAACATATTCAAAAACTATATATAAAAACATGACACTGTATTTTAAAGATTTAATAGCAAACGATATCCGAATATAAAAACTATTATTGTTAGTTTTTAGATGGAATATGCACAATTTATTTTGACCTATGACTACAACTAAAAGAATTAGTTTTGGATACGAAAAGTCCAGAAATAAATGTTTGTAAAAATTGAGGCTGAGTCGATGAGCTTATAACTGGGTCATATTCAATAAAACAAACATTTATTTTCAGGCTTATTTACCATCCATCTTGATAAATTCATAAAAATTAGTTGTAGCAGGCAGTGGTGAAAATGTGACGTGACGTGACGTGACATGATGTATGACGTGACAAGTGACAGTCAATCACTGAGACAACCAATTTTGTCACAATAACGGAACTAATAACTGGGTTCACTACAAAGGACTAATTATGCGATCAACATTTGAGACAAAAAATTAAAACGGTTCCAAATTTGATTCTGCAAAATTTGGTTTAAAAATAAACTATTGTTTTTAATTGTATAAAAATATCATCGAATTAACTGAGCTAATAATAGCCAATTTTAAATTTCAAGAATAAAATCATACTTCACAAAAGTTGATCTTTTTGAAATATTGAATTACAAAGTTCACAAATACGTAACTAAAATATACTATAAGATATACTCTATAGGTACATATAGGAAATTGAATATGGAGACAATAATAGAGTCTATAATAATACCAGTTTATAGTACTGTTATATACCAAACTATATAATATACTAGGGCTTCACTATAAACACTGATCCTTGGGGCCAATCAATGACTGAATGTCAAGGTTTCCGTGGAGGTCGCCATGTTTGAATTGAGTGTGTTTGTGTCACAACCTCTGATTGGACGCTATCATTCACGCGGTAAAGGGAGATAACGCCATGTTTGATTTGAGTGTGTTTGTGTCACAACCTCTGATTGGACGCTATCATTCACGCGGTAAAGGGAGATAACGTAGCTATAAGTTCGGGAATTGCAAACCAGTGCAGCAATGTCTAGATGGTGTAAAACTTGCGGTTGTTGCTTCAGGAACATGAATATACACAGGCACAGTGAGGTGTCCCTCCCCCTCCACCATAAACACTACAGATAAGGGCTTCACTATAAAACAATTGGCAGCCATATTTGTACCCATTGGATAGTGAACAAGGGGTCTTATTTGATAAAACACTTCAGCTAACATATTTTAAGGAAACCGACTGCTCTTCAGCTCAGCACTAGTTTCAAAACAAGGCTTCAATTCTAAAAATATTCTGATAAAGTTTTCTTGAATAAGGATCCTGTGCCATAGTCAGGTCCTAGCGTATATTACGCTAGCAGTATATTCTAGAAAGAAGTGTATATTATAATGAAATATGATATAATGGATGATGATGAAATTAACAAAAGCCGTTACCATTAAAACATAATAATAATCACAAAATCAGCGTCTGATTACAAATTAACGTTCATTTTATTTTATTACATTAAGATGGTCGTCTGTCACGTACACCTTTGTTGTACAAATAGTTTTAAAAATTATTTCGGTAATTTCTGTTCTGTTAATAAGCCAACTATATCTAATAGCTCTCATCAAGAGCAGAAGGGCTGATCGCAAACATTTTATGCTTCCATGAATAACAGGCTTTTGTATGCTAATCAGTGAAATAATTAACGTGAAGTAAAACTTGTGATGGGTTGAAAATAGAAAATGGATATATTTGTGAGGCTAAAATAAATTTCAAAATATGTTTTAAAATGGAAAAAATAAAAGTAGAATATTTACCCGAGCCCTGCACATTAACATAACTTTATCAAACAGAAAGATATGTCTGAAAAATATAATAATGATAATAAATGCGAGGTAGGATACTTTTGCCTCCACGGCTACTCTTTTGCCTATTCTTCTTCCAACTGACCAGGGTTATTTTACATACACACTAATATACTAATGTCCAAAAGAAAGTATACACTGTGCATTTTGTGTTGCATCAACCAAAGTCGTTTTTCCATGGTATACGGTATTTGGGTAGAATGTCAATTTGTTTCACATTTTTATTTTACTTAGAAATGTTGAGTTTGGATGCAAGAGACAAACTCAGTAATGCTTTATCAAATGTTTTTAATCTAAACAAAAATTAGTCATACTTTTAGTGTGTATACTTTCTTTTGGACATCAGTATATGTAACCCATCACATCGAAATGTGTAGTAAGTCGCACAGTTCTCTATTGTGCTAGAACTCGTAATAAAAATTTATGTAAATTTTCGTCAGCTCTCAGATCTTCACAAAACCAGCAGCTGCCAGGCAAGATACGCCCACATTTTGCAAGAGATGGATAGAGAACAAGCTTAACAAAAAGCGACTTTTTGTACAATCAAGGCCATAATTCAGGAAGTTACAATCCGATTTTGTCAGGCAATTTTGGTCTCAACTATCATTAGGGTGTAAATCTGATAAAAATTGTGACCTCTATAGGGACCACAAGCTAAAAACGTGATTTTTCGTACAATCAAGGGCTATAATTCAGGAAGTTACAATCCTATATGTGCAAATATCAACAGGAACCAAGATCTTTGGGTTATAAATATGCATTTCAAGTTTCATCAAAAACGGATCAAAATTGTGTCCTCTAGAGGGTCCACAAAGGTGACATATTCAAACGTTTTTTTTAAAACAGATATCAATTGTGACCTCTAGAAGGACCAAAAGCTAAAAATGTGATTTTTCGTACTATCAGGGGCTATAATTCAGGAAGTTACGATCCGATATGCGCAAATAAAGACAGGAACCATGATCTTTTAGTTATAAACATGCATTTCAAGTTTCATCAAAATCAGATGAAAATTGTGACCTCCAGTGGGTCGACAAGCTAAAAACGTGATTTTTCGTACAATCTGAGGCCATAATCCATGAAGTTATGGTCCGAAACTTGCCAAAATCGAAAAGAATAGAGATCTTTGGTAGATAGACCTATATTTTTAAGTTTCGTCAAAATCGAATAAAAATTTTGACCTTTAGAGTGTCCACAAACAAATTGTGGATGGACGTCCGGATGGATATGGGCGACAACAGTATACGTCCACATGAAAATGTGGGCCTATAAAAATGTTTCACAAATGTTTATTTATATACTCTAAGAAAGGGTTTGCTAAGGCATTTTATCTTTCAATAACTCATTTTTAACCTTGATTTTCTCAAAACTTTGGTTTTGAAATTCTCTCCAATTGACCTGGATGTATTCGGTGATATCTCGACCACCGAACATGACACAGAACCAGGAATGGTACCAAAATGAAGCGTGGAACGCAAGTAATGTGATAATGTGCATAACTCAATATGGCCAATTTACTACCCATTTTGATGTGATGGGTCACAGATGTACATGGCTCGACTTCACTTTTTTTGTCTCATCCAAATGACTAGGTACAATATTTTTGTCAAACCATGGATGTTACCCATGACAAGAGACAGCCATGCTTGAAGGTTCTCCTTGGTCCATGCAGAGATTTTAGTGAGGAAGTTTGACCTCCATTTGACACAATTTAATTTTAATAATTTGCTTGCAATGGGAGTAAACCTAGGAGGTTAGGCAGGCACCTAGTCATGTGCCTGGGATAGAAACAACGCCATTTGACTTGATAGGCTACTCTATGTATTTTTTTTTTTTAAATGTATACAGTTCTTGAAATGTTGAACAACACACATACTTGTATAAATATAATACATAAAAGATATTTTATATCAATTACAATCCATGCAAATAAAAGGAAAAAAGTAAGAAAATTCAACATTTGAATTCAATTTGTTTAGATTTTTGGATCCTATTCTTGAATGTGTACCGTGATGAAATATTATAATCAATACATGAATTAATAGATTGCAGACATTCAGACGGATTTTAAAAATTAAAAAAAAGCTACGCTAAGAATTCAAATAGAAATAATACTATTAAAAAATTCATTAATTCAAATTAAGGAATACTAAAAGCTAAATAAAAATTTAAAAACTAACTGCGAACTCGTAAATAAAAAATGACAAAAAAAAAAAAAAAATCAGTTAAATAAATTAGACTAAAGGTAAAGATAAGTAATAAACAAAAAGCAAAAATCCAAAACTTAGAAATAATAAAAGCAGGCAATGATTATGATATTAAAACCAAAAATAAAAGATATGAAATAAAATTTAATGGCACAAGAAATTAATAAAGGAATTTATAACCATGTATATTATAAAATAAGTATCATGATGATGTTATTTAGAATCCCTTGCAAACTACAATATAACCCGACATTTTGTTTTTCTTTTCTTTAATAATTAATAAATAATCATTGTGCATCCATAGTGGATGAATTCATGAAAAATTAGATATATTCCAAGGATGAAACACGGTATTTAGAAGTTATTCTTCGTAAATAAATGGTAAATAATCATTGTGCATCCATGGTGGATGAAGCCATGAAAAATTAGATATTTTCCAAACGATGTAACCTGGTATTTAGTTTTTATTCTTTGTAAATAAATGATAAATAATAGTTCATTTTAATGTAGTTAAAGCCATGAAAATTTAGATATTGTCCGAATTTGCAAGATTTTGACTTTTGACTATCTGCCGCCAATATAATGCAATTCTTTATATACTGTGGTATATTTATCCATGATACGATGGTTAATTTCATGAGATGGCATGCCGGATTTGGTAAAAAAAAAACCACATTAATTCTAAGTTTAAATTAGTTTAGATGTCTATGTTTATAATATTAAATGTTTGATTGTGATGAAATTATGATAAATTGGGGGGAAAACCCACATTAAATTTAGTTTAATAAAGATGTCTATTTATGATACTAAATGTTATATTAGGATGAAATGATGATAAATTAGGGGAAAACCCACATTAAATTTAGTTTAATAAAGATGTCTATTTATGACACTAAATGTTATATTAGGATGAAATGATGATAAATTAGGGGAAAACCCACAATTGTTTTTAGTTTTTCTTTATTCCAATTTAGATGAAATGATGGACTCGATTGCTCCAGCCGAAATGTCTCAGTTACAACTAAAGCAAATATCGTTCTGGACAAACAGCAGTGTCAAAAGTAGTACAGAGATTTTCATCGATCAGGACAAACAGCAGTGTCAAAAGCAGTACAGAGCTTTTCATCGATCAGGACAAAGAGCAGTGTCAAAAGTAGTACAGAGCTTTTCATCGATCAGAGTCAAAAGTAGTACAGAGCTGATCGATCGGTTGAGAGGAATGGATTGGGATTACGTAGAATGTATTATTAATAGGTTGAATGATAGATCGAAATGGATTTTAATGTCCACTCGACACAAACTAGGTCATTATTAGACTAACACTATGGTACCATTCTATGGATGGATCTATAGCAGTGGGAGGAAACAGGAAGACCCGGAGAAAACCCACAAGGTTAGGCAGGTGACCTTACTCCTTGTCACATACAAGCATGAGATTGCAACCATAACACTTGACTCAATGGCAGCCCTTATGAATTAAATTGCAACCGTAAGACCACTCCCCCCCCACCGTCCGGTTGAATGAGATAACATTTCTGATCTTCACAGTCGAAGGGGAGACAATTTGAGCTGTAGCAATCAAGACCAATGAAATGGTTAACTATATATATATGTATATATAAAGAAATTGAGGGAGTTAAAAATGCATGATCTAGTTTCAGAAATTTGTCAAAAATATGATGAGATAATACAACTTGATCAAATTTTGTGTTCTTCTGCTGATCAGATGCCAAGCGGAATCCATGTTGAATTTTTCTTACCTCTTTTCTGACGCCTTCGGATCTAATCTAGAGTAATTGAATAATACATATAGTAAATTGCAAGTCAGAATTCATCTCCCATCTTCCAACGTTTGTTTTGTAAAACAAAAATCTAACAATCGCTCTCAAACTACAAATTGTTTTTAATTTCTTTCCCATATTACAACGTGATTAAAATAGAAGTCTATATTTCGTTTCGTTTTATTATACTTTCGATGACCTACACTACATGAAGATCTGACAAGTTGTACAGGAAGGTCGTGTCAGGGGTCATATGAGCGGCTTTTGACCCTATGATGTCAGACATTGATTAATCAATCAGCGTTGATGTTTCTAGTGGTTTAAACACAGTTCCATGCAGGGCACACCAGGAAGTTGCAGTAACATACAGTTTCATTGGCTAATCCCTCACTTTACCCAAAAGGCCGGTAATATAACAACTCTTCCAGATCCTAATGTAGTTTATTTTATGATCAGTAGTGGAATACCGCGTTTTATCAGTGAAATAAAAGTGTTATTCCACTGGCTAGTTGTTTTTACCTAAAATGATTGTAAAATCATAAAATAAATAGAACATTTGTCGTTTTGTCGTAAATAACATATTTTATTTCATCTCTAAGCAAGAAAACGTTTATATTTTCACTCATGCTACGCATTCGTGAAAATATAAGTTTTCTTGCTTCTCGATGAAATAAAATATGTTATTCACTCTAAAACGAAAAATATCCTCTATGTATTAAAAATGAAACGAAATAGGATCTGTGTTTTAATCAGATTGACCATGTCATAAACACAGGGTGCAACTGTTGACTCTTTCAGAAGATTACAAGAGGGAGAGAGAGATGGGTTCAATATGCCCTTAACACAAACTAGGTTATTTCAGGATATAAAATCAAAAATGATTCTGATGTCTTACACAAACTAGAGAAAAGTATATAGACACATACTATTGGAAAAAACCCATCAATGTTTAAATTTATTGAAGTGTTAAATAATGAAAATAATATTGTGTTAAATAATTTAGGAAAATTTGTACATTTTGCGCTGAAATCTCATTTACAGAGAGAGAGAGATAAATGGGGTTTAACGTCCACTTGACACAAACTAGGTCATTTCGGGACTAAAACATGGTTCAATTTTATTTCAATAATTCGCTTGCGCATAGGTTTTTTTAGCAGTGGGAGGAAACCGGAGGACATGGAGAAAATCCATGAGGTTGGACAGGCGACCCTACTCCTTGTCATGTACAACCAGGGAATCATGCCAGTTGCTTCAATGACAGACCTTATGATACAGCGCGCATGTGCTAACCATTTGATCATCCATCCCCCCTCCTTTATAGAGCTATCCTACATAATTGTACATCTCCACCATCACTACTTTATTGTTTTCTAAAACCCTATATACTGTGTATTTGGCAATAAACAATTACAATTACACATAAAAAATCTAATATTGGAAATCCACAGTTTTTTTATATTAAAGATTGTCACATTTGTAATCTGAGAGCAATGGTCGAATTTCACGTTTACAAAACATTTGACAGATTAATTCTTAATGAATCCAAACGGTCTTGTAATGTATAAGCAAAACAAAAAAAAGCAAACTAAAAAAGAAATCAATCAAAAGAAAAGAGAATAAATTGCAATGTAGTGCAAAATTTGTACTTAAATAAATCATGAATATCTAACATTAATTAAACATAAATGGGGTCCAAGGCAGCTCACTTGGTTTTCTTTGATACCATAAATTAGACATTATGTCATTAAATCAGACACCCCTTACACCCATAAATCAGTCATACATGTGTGCCTTTAAATTAGACATCCCTCAAGCCAATAAATCAGATATACCCTATGCCCATAAATCAGCCATACCCTATGCCCATAAATCAGACATCCATTACGCCCAAAAACCAGACATCCTTTATCCCAATAACTCAAGACATTCATGATGCCCATAAATTAAGACTTCAATTATGTATGCCCATAAATCAGTCATACCTTATGCCCCATAAATCAGACATCCATTATGCCCAAAAAACAGACATCCTTTATCTCAATAACTCAGACATCCATGATGCCCATAAATTAGACTTCCCTCATGTATGCTCATAAATCAGACATCCATTATGCCCATAAATCAGACACCAATTATGCCCATAGATCAGACATGCCTTATACCCCTAAATCATACATTCTTTTAATGGCAATAATTTAGACACCTCTTATGCCCATAAATCAGACATCCATTATGGCAATAATCTAGACATCCTGTATGCCCAAGACATTACTCTTCTTGGTATTGTAAGATTTTAATTGCTAGAATATTACACTTATTACCCAATCTACAGTCAAAACAATCTACAGGGTCATGGTTTGGGGGGATGTTTATCTAGAAAGCATGTAGCGGAGACGACTGACATAAAAAAAAAGAAAAAGAAAAAATTGCTACAATATGCCCAAAGGAAATAAGAATATGGACTACTACAACTGCTGCTAACATTGTTATGTTAACATATACACAGGGTCATGATTTTTGGGGGAATTTATCTGGAACAATGTTAGCAAAGATGATTGACATAATGAACCTCGCCATATTCAAACAAACAAGAGAGAGAGAAGGAGAGGGAAGGAGGTAGGGAAGGGGTTTAACGTGGGGTCTTTAATAGTGGGAGGAAACCGGAGGACCAGGTGGAAACCCACAAGCTTGGACAGGCAACCCTACACCTTGCTATGTATAACCGAGGAATCGAAACAAACAGACAAGGGAAATATGCCCAAAGGAAATAAGAATATAAACAATGGAATCCAACCACTACTACAACTAATATTAACATACCTGTTTCTGACTTTTGACTCCATATGAGATAAAACCTTAAGTTCACCATCTTTCTGAAACCTGCCATAATCACGCAAAGATGTGTTCGCTGGCTGCAAATTTCAAACAGAAATAGAATTAAAAATTTTAATTTTCATTGGAATATTAAAGTAAATGGTTGCAAAGCAAACGGAACTAATACTTGCAGATAAATAAAACATCCAATAAGCTGTTGGTTATATGTCTTATTTTCATTTGTTAATGTCTGCATTGTGCATTGTTATTTGTTGACAGTATGTCTTATTGTTATTTGTTTATAGGGCCTATATACAGTAGAGGTTATCTTGAGTTCTGTATAAAAGAAGCTCTGGTTAATGTATTGATGTCGTTTGCTAGTACCATGACGAGAACTAGGTTAACAAGGACAATTCTGGTAGTTTAAAATCAGGCAATGACATCATAGTCTGCTAATTCAAAGATGGTAATCCCATGCTTTAGACATGCGGGCAACTGTCCTCCTTGTGCCCATATTAGTACAATGAGTTTAAATCCAGGGTAGTGTCTGTGCAGCTGACCAATCCGATAAAAGCAGTACCTAGTCAATTTCCCAATACATGACTCATGCACGGATCATCTTTATATTATAAGAGTGGGGTAAATTTCCCTTCAGGTATCTTTGCTGACAGTATGTCTTATTGTTATTTGCTGACAGTATGTTATATTGTTATTTGCTGACAGTATGTCTTATTGTTATTTGCTGACAGTATGTCTTATTGTTATTTGCTGACAGTATGTCTTATTGTTATTTGCTGACAGTATGTCTTATTGTTATTTGCTGACAGTATGTTATATTGTTATTTGCTGACAGTATGTTATATTGGTATTTGCTGACAGTATGTCTTATTATTTGCTGACAGTATATTATATTATTATTTGCTGACAGTATGTCTTATTATTTGCTGACAGTTATTATATTGTTAATTTGCTGACAGTATGTCTTGTTATTTGCTGACAGTATATTATATTATTATTTGCTGACAGTATGTCTTATTATTTGCTGACAGTTATTATATTGTTATTTGATGACAGTATGTCTTATTGTTATGTGTGTAGTGTGCATCATAATTTTTGGACAATGTCTCTTAATTTTGTTTGTTAATCTGTGCATCATCTTAATTTTATTTGCTCATGTGTGTAGAATGCATCGTTATTTGTTGACTGCTTTATATGCAATGGCAGCTGTATTTTAAACTACCAATTTAAACGATTCGAACCGCAGCTTATACTGTTTCAATTTTAGATAGACACATTCAGGAATCATTGGTTTACATTATTATTAAAATAAAATCTCACCATTTTAAGATCCACAATGCTGAAATATATAAGAATAAAAATTTTAACATAAATAAATCACTCAAAAAAGATTTTAAAAGACCTGTGATTGCTTCTTCAGGATATTTTGAATAACAGCGGTGAAAATTCTATGCAGAATCATTTGCAGAGTTTAGCGTCAACTCAACAATATCCTAAGAGTGGGATACATACCAAAAATGAACTGGTGATGTTAATATGGTTCTTCATCTCATGAAAAAAAACACTGTGTATAAATTTGAAGCCAGCAGATATAACCTTAGCCTCTAGAGCATCCACAACATTTTCCAAATTGATCATGGGGCCTTCAGTCAGGCAGTAATTATCAGAAATTATTGAAAATCAATAGGATTCTTCCTCTCATGACAATTTCAGCCTCTTTGTCTCATGCACATAAACACACTGTATAAAATTAAAGTCAATCAGCTGATAACTTTAGCCAAGTAATTGTGGACGCCGGTCGGATGGAAAAGGTTGACAGCAATAATTGTCATAAAACATAAATTCTGACTGACCTTGTTTGAATTTCTTCTATTAACTGTAAGGCTTCATTGTCTCTTTTAACTTCATTAACATATAGTGATAAATCCTAGATATAATAACAGAGAGAGAAATGGGGTTTAACATCTACTCAACTAGGTCATTTTGAGACTAACATATGGTAGGATTTTATTTCAATAATTAAGTTTGCTTGGATTCAATCAGATTAAAAAGAGGCCCATCAAAAGATTTTACTCAATACTTATAGGTGGCAATGGCTTGTTTACACTGTAACCCAGGTATCATTTAATCTTGTGTATCTAGCACTAATTTCTTTCACATTTGTTTAATATCAGATCTTTGTTTAAAGGTTCAATACCACTCTTGTTGTAACTAAATAATATGTCCCAATCTTTATTCTAGTCAACAAATTGTACTACTTTACAATATTCCAATTAATTGATGATACAAATTTCATCTTAACACGCCTAATTTAAAAAATTTGAAAAATTCAACTAAATGATTTGAAAAGCCTGACGTAAAGCTTTTCAAATGTGACTTGGATTTAAAAATATTTTTGAACCCTTTGGATAAGTAAAATAGGATTTAATGGATAATTTACACAACAGGTAGGACACTAACACATCTAGTACTTAGAATAAGGCTATTTTTTATTTTCTGGAGCTGTCAAGTCAGCAAGAGTGTTATTGTCCCTTTAAAAAATTTGTAAAAATCATTTAAAATCACCAAAAATCATTTAATTTGTACTTGTGTCCAGTTTAAAGCTGACTGATTAATTTTGATAATGAGTGTCCAATTTACAAGTATTTAATTTCCTGACCACTGTTCAAATATTAATCATTATACATCATTAATCAATTGGCATGGGTTGTTTATTTTTCAACAGTGATTGAGAAATTAAACACTTGTAAATTGGACACTCATTATCAAAATTGAATGGTCAGCTTTAAACTGGACACAAGTACAAATTAGATGATTTATGGTGATTTTAAATGTTTTTTACAAATTTTAAACAAAAATTTGATATTAAACATATGTGAAAGAAATTAGTGCTAGATACACAAGATTAAATGATACCTGGGTTACAGTGTTATATCATGCCATTTTTAGACCAATATTACTTTTTAGAGATTCAACTTTCACCATATCATATTTTAACTTCCCTTAGCGTAAGATCAGAGGCTCTAATTTGGGTAAATAAAAGTAAAAACTAACCTGCATGGCTTCTAGAGCATTCTCTAATGGCTGTCGTTCAGGATGCGTTTTGTCTGTATTTCTGATTAATTCCTTTAAAAAAACATTCGATGGAATAAATATTTCTCTAAATATCTGGTTAACAAAAACAGGCATAAGCTATCCAGTGTGCTACAAGGCAAGTTTTGCCTGAACTTATATTAAGCTTTAATTCATATTTTTAATGTTGAAGAGTAAGGACAATATTGAATCAAAGGTTTAGCGCTATCCTTTAACAATAAGAGTACATTTTATTTATAAATTATCCCCGGCGCCACCACATCTACACCAAATTCGTGTTGCCAGACTGAGATGTATAACTGACAAGACTTCTTAAGATGGGGCTAAAAATCCAACCAACACAACCCAGACTTTAGTGTATTACTAATTTCCAATGGAGCCATGCCTTGAACCATTACATTCCACTCCTCCAGACCTGACCCAACCCTGCATTTCTAACATGTACCTACCCTTAATAACAGATAATATTTGGGGTATTACATATATCCAATGGAGCCATGCCTTGAACCATTACATTCCATTTATTCAGACCCGACCCAACCCTGCATGTCTAACATGTACCTACCCTTAATAACAGATGATATTTTAACACTCTCTGCATGGGTACTGATAATAAATCTCTCAGATGGAATTTACCTTCATTTGCCTGTCTTTCACATTCCTGAAATAATCACAAAAGATTAACAAAAATCTTTTAGAACAAGTTCGATAACATTCAGAAGAAACCTGTGGATTCCAACGAGTATCATCAAGTTGCATTCATTAACAGTTGATTGTGGTCATATACAAGTCATCTCTAAGAAGACAAGAGAACATATGAAGCTAGCAGCATGGGATAAAAAAAATCAAAAAATCAAGGGGAGGTAACTCTTCCTCTGTGACCCAATATACATATTATCTCCCCTTTGACTACACCCATAAAGCAAACAGTAATACAAATTTATTCTTCAATTTCCTGATGTCTCTTGCAAGACTTCAGGAAATTCAGCTGTCAGCAATGATTACTTTCAGCAATCAAATTTTCAAATCCAGATAATTTAAAAAATTGTAGACGGATAATGTGGGCGTATAAAAAAAACCTTACTTGTATCTTCTGTCGATGCATCTCGCTTTCACAAAGTTTATCTATTCTTTCCTGGGCAATAGGCAAGTTAGAGCAATATGCACCATATAAAATAAGTTCAGATTTATAACGAATAAAAATATCTGCTATTTTGGGGTTTGCTGATAACACTGTTTCATACAAGTCATCATACATTCTCCTGTGAATATCATGAAGTTTCTGAAAAAAATGAAAATATATACACTGTATGACTACACTACTATGCATTGAAATGAAAGAGAAAAATAAATTGAGTTTAACATCCACTTGACACAAACGAGGTCTAACATATGGTTCAATTTTATTTCAATAATTTGCTTACGCGTAGGGGTCTTTAGCAGTGGGAGGAAACCAAAGGATCCGGAGAAAACCCACGAGGTTGGACAGGCGATCCTACACCCTGTCACGTACAACCAGGGAATCGAAACCCCACCAGTTGACTCAATGACAGACCTTACGATACAACGTGTACACGTTAACCATTCGGCCATCCAACCCTCCGCATAGAAATGGAATGGATTTTAAATTTGTACTATTCTGCAGCAACTGCACTAATTTACAAAGACGGCATGAAGTGTGCTATGAGAGAAATTTTGCCATGACAGCGACGGTTGTGCCTACTCTTTTTTGAATGGGACTTCATTGGTAATGAGGATGTTTCCTACTCACTTTGCCACTTTGACTCCTCCCATTATATTGGAAAACAGTTCTTTAAATATACATACCTCTATATTAAGGAACATAATCTCTCTATCTTGAAGTGACAAGGAATTTGTTAACTTTTTAATAAAATGCTGAAAAATGTTTTTTAAAAATATTTAGAATTTTAATAAAATGCTGAAATTTTTAATAAAATGCTGAAATTTTTTAATAAAATGCTGAAATTTTTAAAATAAAATGCTGAATTTCTTTTGTTTAATAAAATGCTGAAAAATATGTACATGTATGTAATGGCTGGAGTTGTCTATTTGACAAGAAATCTCAGATATATTTTGGTAAATAGAATTGATTATTTAGGGATTATTCTAGTTCTGAACAACTATCTGAATCTCTGTAAAATGTTTTATAAGAAATACTTATTTTAACAAACTTTGTTCTCAGGAACTCTGTGATAACCAGAATTTTTTCTTCTAAAGATTGTAAATGGACCCACTAGAGTATGATTTTCAGCCCCAAATGGACAATTAGTGAGAAACCTTTGAAGTCCGGAAACACACTTGGAATAACTTACCACCACTATCATCTCCAATGCATCAACATAATTTTTCTCGGTGTCGATTAACTCTTTTACACAATGTTCCCTTTTACATGTCGGAGGTGGTAGGCCCAACGATCGCTGAAAAATTATAAAATTAAATAAACCATAAATTTTTCACAGGAATCAGATATAGACTCTTCAGTTTATTGCTATATCTTGCATAATGTGTTTTTTGGGGCTTTTTCAGCCTTCTGTCTATTGAACTGTTTCATCAGTATCTTGTATACTCAACTTTTTCAGTTTGTTTTGTTTCAATATCTTGTATACTCAACTTTTCAGTTTGTTTCGATATCTTGTATATAGAACATTTTGGTCTGTTTCAGTGTTCAGTTTTTTGTATATTATCAATGCAGATAGATGAACGATGGGATGACTTATGCCTGGGCAATAATCTGATCAAATTCAAACCTGCTTTTAATCTTTTACTGAATACACAAGACCTTACTAAGCTTTCTAGTCTTAGCTAAATAAGAATATATAATTTCCGAGTCAACACAAAACTTCAGTTCTTTTAAGACTTATATATACAGTTATTCTTCTTTGGCCTTGTGTACAATGCAGGGAGGAGAAATTGGTCCAAACAGTGGCATTTTCGCATACTCTTCGAGTAGGAACGGGGCTTGAAGAATCACAAGATTCTCCTTGACCTACTCCATGATTCGAACCCAAGACGTTCTAGTTGAGAGTCCAGTACCATTACCGGTTGACTACTGTCAGTTCAGAAAGGCATCTTCCCTTGATCAGAGGTAATTTGGACCCAAGTTGAGTCCAACATGGCCATCATATATAATTACTATTTGACTAGGGTTAGGAACCCTAACCCTAGCGACGGCCATGTTGGACTCAACTTGTGTCCAATTTACTTCCGACCATTTTCCCTTATCACAAGGCATCTTGCATCTTACTTTGATATCACTTGGAATTAAGAGTCTTGCTTATTGGAAACAAATCTGTGAGTAACAGAGCCTGAATATTAAGTCTGAAGATGAAAGTGACATGCCTACACTGACAGATTTTGAGTAGCATACGTACTTCAGAGGATCGTCTGTTGTGGCCTTGTAATTGCATGATATCATTATAAATATCATCTGTATCATCTTGGTCGGGACTAACAATATCATAAATATCTTCTTGGTCTACAAGTTCATTCTCACTTAAATAGATTAAACAATGATAGATTAATATCATCATTTAAATGAGAAGATTTATAAAAAATGATAACTTTTCTTGACAGTCATGATTCTGAATACGTAACTCATCATTTAAATATGAAGATTTATAAAAATAATATCTTTTCACGACGGCCATGATCCTGAATACCTAACTTAGAAAATTTTCTGAGGAAATTAAAATAATTCTGTTACAAAAACATATTTTACACTTCAAAGACAATGAATTGAAGAGATGAAAACTAACACCACTTGACAAAATGGTTGAATTCCATTCAGTGTTTTACAGATATAACAAGGTGAAAAGCGCCACCTATGATTTTGATGGGCATCCTTTTACTTCAATTGAATCCAAGCGGAGAGGTTATCTACTGGTTTAAACAGGCTTGCAATGAAGAAAATGATGGCAAACAAGTAAGCATTTGCACAAAATTAACCTTGCGCGAGAATGGTGATTGATTAATTTTACGTGAGCAATAGGCTCAACTGGAACCGCAAATTCAACTTGATTTCAAGTTTAAACCAAATATCAGAAATGTACATATGTTTTATAAAATCAAAAAGAAAAAGTCTATTAAGTTATACATATCAAAGTTTGATATTTCTTTTATTTATCAATTTAGACCGGCGTAAGTCTGGAATCCCCTTGTAGCCCATGGCTAAAAACAAAACAGTTACCTCCCTAACATCGCTTGCTGACAAAATCTGACGTGTTGTCATTGGTCAATACGGATTAGAAAGTAACATAATTGTGATGTACAACATGCTAATTGATAGCATTGGAATCTGTGTCCGACGTGGGGGTACAATGGCTGTTACAATCTTTCAGTTTTACAGCGTCCATTTTGTAAAAACAATAAATATTGACCCAAATAGCAACGGGTTTGGTAACAACTATCCATTGAACGATGTGTGCAAGTGACTATCTCCTCACGCAAAAACAAGTTTGCATGAGTTTTGCATACGTGCGAGTGCTTGCTCGCATCTCGTGGCAAGCCCTGTTTATATATTAATTTTGTTTTCTTAATTAAATGTTAAATAATCAATCCGACTACATTTAAGCGTGGCTTGATCCAAGGAAAATTTGATATTTGGTCATAAACACATCAGATAAAAGTAAGTTTATAACTAAGATTCCATTCATTATATATACCAGTCAGATGTGAAGATATAGTGAATGAAATAAAACAGGTAGCCATCCCAGATTTCTCTCATAAAGCTAATAATTTCGTTCTTATACGAAATAAATAATTAAAATTTTTATTTAACCTTGAAGATCAAATTTCATGAGATAATAATTTATCTGACTGATTTGCATTCCAAATACACATGACGGTCTAAGGTATCCATATCTTAACACATCACAGGGTGTTATACTTTCTATAGACCAGTTTTCTTCCTTTAATTAAATTGGATTTAAATTTACTCATCCAAATGGTGCACTTTTTGGACAATATCCAACATTTCATGACTTAATCCACACAGAAATGTAATCAAATTTATTATGTAACATTTAATTAAGAGAAAAAAAACCCAATAGAACACCTTGTAATTCTATGATTATTTTTTGGAGAGAAAGAGATAGATATGGGGTTTAACGTCCACTCGACACAAACTAGGTCATTTCGGGACTAACATATGGTTTAATTTTAATTCAATAATTCGCTTGCGCGTAGGGGTCTTTAGCAGTGGGAGGAAACCGGAGGACCTGGAGAAAACCCACGAGGCTGGACAGGCGACCCTACTCCTTGTCACGTACAACCGGGGAATCGAAACCACGCCAGTTGACTCAATGACAGACCTTACGATACAACGTGTACACGCTAACCATTCAGCCATCCAACCCCCCATTATTTTGGGGGTAAGTCCAGTTATGTTCAAACTATTCGTAGAATAACAGCATTCACAATCTCTACTCATGACAAAAGTATGGTTATCTAAAACTATATGACACATATTCACGATCAAGAGATATTTATTATTAGTAATAAAAACAATTGTGTTAATTAACTCTTCAGCTATTCTATTACAACATTTAGGACATAATATATTATTTACAACATTTATGATGGGATATTAATAACGATTATGTTACTTACTTGGCTAAGTCCTGAAGATTACCGTAAATATCTTCATCGTCATGTTCGCCATAGTTATCAGGAGGGAAACCACTACAACCAAACACAATTCATTCAAATAACATGGCAACATCAAAACTTTTAAAATCTCAACATAATCACAGAACTTCTGTTTCAATATCAGAGATTATCTTTTTTTTTCATATTCTCATATTAATACAAGTGTGGATTAAAGCCAGAATTCCAATCGGAAAAAAGTTTTTTTTTTTATAATTTAATCTTTTGATGTCCAAAAGAGAGATCTCTGTACCTGTCATTTTAAACAGTTTGTCTGACATGACCGGATTGTTTGATCAACACAAAAACTCTAATCAAAACATTAAACAGATACAAATTCTGTCAGGTCAAACAGATTTTGTGTTAAACACTCAAGATAAAAATTTCAGTGTAAAACTCAAGATAAAAATTTCAGTGTAAAATTCAGATCAACCCAATTCCACATCCTATCACAGAAAACCCAATTGATTCAGCTTTTTGAAGTTACATGTACATGTATCATTTCTAACAGTATCGAAAGATGTGGTAGATTTTACGGAAAAGCTGATTTTAAGAAATTTCCTTACAATACATCTTTAGGTCAGTCATGTGGCCAATTCTAACCACAGCAAATGTTTTTATATCGCTAAATTTACATTTGTAAATACTGACAGAATCCAATGCAAATCATGCAATTTTGCCACATGAAGTGATGCTGAAATCAATGTTTGATACAGGGAATTTTTCTTTTATAACAGGTGTTTCAAAAGACAGATAATTGAAACTTATTGGTTCTGTATGTGACGTAAAAATAATCTTGTGGTCTATGATGATGCTAAGATACATGCTGTTAGTTCTTGTTATCTATCATTCAAGTCAACATAGTGGACTGGTGGAGTGGTGCAATTCTTGATCTGTGAATATTGCTAACCATTATAGCTGGATTTCGAATTTTGCGTAAACTGAATTGAAATGAAATGAAATGGAGTTTAACGTCCTACTGTCCTGCTCCTAACCTGGGCTAATGAAGACGGGCATATGCCATACAGTGTGCTATGAGGGAAATTTTGCCCGGACAGCGGCACTACGGCCTACTCTTATATCGAATTCCAACTGCCAAGGGATCTTTTACTCCTTGTCAGCCCCTCCGAAACTGAATTGAACTTTAACCTACATTTACATAGCTCCTCAATAACCCACTGTACTGTGGCCATATTTTTCTTAAATTGCCGAGTAACTAATAAATCCTAAGAAGAGACATTTCATTTCCAATTACGGAAACGAAGATTTTTCACTTCAAAAATATCAATGAACCTAGCATTAAATCTGTTCATATCTTGTATATATATTATAAATAAAATACAATGTTTCAAAGAGCTATTTTAATAGGTACTTTATCTATCATTTAACATAGAATATAATGGATGAAAATTTAAATTAATAAAAGATTAGGAACTCTCTTGATTTGTTTATGATATGATTATATCGAAGAAGGGTTGGGGTGGGGCGGAATTTAACATTTTGTCAACACAATACTTTGGTCATTTTCAGACATTCATGTTGTTTTCTAAGATCACATAAGTGTTAGAGACTTGACTGTATTGGTCAGTCTTCATCAAATTCCAACAATCAGGAGTTCTCTATCATGTTTTTTTTATACCATCCAAAGGACTAGGTTTAAGCTTTGGAGATTTTCAATCCAGATAATATAATAAAATCATTTTTTTTTTTACAAATCAAGAAAGTTCTAGTGATTCTGAAAAATCAAAAATGTGGTTTATTAATACGTGTAATAACAAATTAATCAATTCAAAAATCTTAATTAACTACCCATATCCGACCGAATCAGCAACTAAAACATGTACGCAAATCTGGAAGTCATCTGTGGTGATAGACAATATCAGACAAAAATGAAAAAATATGGGGTTTAATGTCCTACTTTTCTGCACCGTCTGGGGTAATTAAGTCAGCAAAAATTAAGATGTTGTTACCTACAATTTCCCTCGTTCCCATCATTTTGTTTTGTACAAGACGACAGGAACGAGAACGAGGCCAGAAATACGAACAATGCTCTCGTGCCCTACTTCGATAAAACTATGGAAGTCCTAAGTGGTAACTCTACTATCCTTAGACATCATGCAGAGTGACTGGGTCCTTAATTTGGTTATTTAAAATATAGTTAATAATAACTCAAACGTATATGCCATGCAGTGTGATATGAGTGGAATTTTGCCCAGGAAGTTATGTTTACTTCCTGCTCTTCATCAAATTCCATATGTCAAGTGTTTTTTCATATTTAATATATGCACAGCCATTCTGCACACATCTACTCCATACTTCGAGAATAGATCTCGGCCCTAAATGGCCTACATATCCAAAGATAGGTTGCCAGGCAACGAAACATACGCCCACAGCAGCTAAATCGTCCGGGGAGTCAACAAGAGTTGTCGCATATTTTTACTTTTTTCGGTAATTAAACATTTATAATACATTAAAATCTGATTAAGAGTAACAACTAATTAAGTAATTATCAGAAAACCATTAGAATTTGTTTGGTTTTTATAAAGTTCTGCCCCATGCTAATGTTTAGTATACGAAACTTTTAACATCATGGATTTAGTTGTTCAACTCATAAAAATTCATTGGAAATCAATATACTTGTTCGTCTCAAGACCTTAAACTCTGTGTATTAATCTGAAGTCAATCAGATGATAACTTTAGCCTCTAGAGCGTCACAAGATTTTTCAAAGTGATCAAGGACCATAACCTCAAACATAAATTTAAAGTCAATCGGATATATACTGTAGCCTCTAAAGCATTTACAAGATTTTTTGAAGTGATCAAGGGCCATAACTCTAGCAGTAATTATCGGAAAATCAATAGGCTTCTTCGTCTCATGACCTTAAACACTGTGTATAAATTTAAAGTCAATCGGATATTAACTTTAGCCTCTAGAGCGTCCACAAGCAATTGTGGACGCCGGACCGACGGACGGGGGTGACGACAATATACAACCACATTTCAATGTGGGCGTATAAAAATTAGTATATGATTTTGTATGCAGTTCTACTCCGTTTCACATCTGCCATACACACAAAGACTAAATAAACTTTATCAATTTTATTAAATGGAACTGGAATAAATACTTAATAAAATTCTCAAAGTATACTTAGTGTTTTCGACTAAAATCGTCAATTTAGGTCTTAAAATGTCAGTCAACTAGCTTAGTGTGAGTGTCTGTTCTCAAACAGATCTAATTGTAGACATACAGCCTAATTTAGTATAATGTACGACATAAAGCTAAAAATGTCTGAAACACCTTTTTTTTTTCAGTCGAATAAGGTATGTTAATAAAATCAACAATGTACATTTCATTTATAAAATTAGAACATTAAGGTTAGGATGCAGCAAATACAGTGCAAGCCATAAAAATTCAGTTTGGAAAGGGTGGGGAAATTTACATGAACACAAAGCAAGCCAGTGATTTGGGTTTTCATTTGCAGACTTACTCAGCCAGTAGCTCCAAATCGTTATAATATGGATGCTCAAGTGTTTCTTTACTAGCTTCACGCGGAAAGCCTCTAAAAACAAAAAATTAATTGCAAAAAAAAAGAAGGAGATTTAGAAAAGCAATTGAAGTCAATGTTAAACTCAGGAACAAAGAGGATTCAGTATAGAATCTGTGCCACATTTCCAGATTTCTGTTAATTTTCAAGTGATTTGAGAATATATATATTTACATGTAGGGTTTAACGTCCTACTTTTCTGCTCTGACCAAACTAACGAAAACTGACTTACACCATGCTCTACCGGTCATGCTACAGCTACAGCCTACTTCAAATTGGAACTGACAAAGGTTCTTTTATGTACACACCAATGTATGTTCGTAATAACTAGATGCTGTTCATTGCCAGATTCTCTGACAAAGGGGAAACCCCAACAGGGGAACTTTCTCAGCCAATACCGGGATTAAATCCTGGACCTACTGGTTAGTGAGAGAGTACCTTACTCACTGAGACACTGTGGCTCACAGACCAATTTCATCAATAGCTAGTGTAATGCATGGAACTTTTATGAATTTCTTTTCACAATCAACAATGGCTTGGATAGATACAGTGTAAATAACCAAAGAATTTGGTTTTAATTTTCTATCTGAAACTAACTTAAAAGGAGAGAGAGAGAGAGAGAGAGAGAGAGAGAGAGAGAGAGAGAAATGGGGTTTAACGTCCACTCGACACAAACTAGGTCATTTCGGGACTAACATATGGTTTTAATTTTATTTCAATAATTTGCTTGCGCGTAGGGGTCTTTAGCAGTGGGAGGAAACCGGAGGACCCGGAGAAAACCCACGAGGTTGGACAGGTGACCCTACTCCTTGTCACGTACAACCAGGGATTCGAAACCACGCGTGCTAACCATTCGGCCATCCAACCCCCCTAACTTAAAAGGACAATGTATTTTCATGTGGCTGTTTTTGAGTGAAGCCACATCATCTGACAATAAAAAATATATTCTTTTAAATGTGGCCTTGATTTCATGTATTTTAGGATTTGTGACAAATAAATAGTATTTATTATTATAAAGAAATTCTGGAAATGCGACACAGATAATATAAATAAATCACATTAAATTCTGTTTGAAACATGCAAATTAAATAAAATTCACAAATTATGAAAAATGAGCTGAGAATTATTTTGATGTAAGCTTATAGTGTTGTTACTTTTGTGCAGACAATTCATTACGCTAGTTTTGATTCACATTTTTATCACAAATATGTGTTTCAATCGTGAAGATATCAAGTTTCTTTCAAGCCTTAAGACACAGGATCAATCTGATTAAAACGCAAATCCAATTTCGTTTCGTTTTTATAGTTTAAAATTTCAATTTTACTTGTCTTTACTACACTTGGATCTGGAAGCGTTGTTATTTAACTCGTGTTCTGCTTGAAATGAGGGGTCAGCCAATCAAATGGTCTGTCAAATCAAGCTTTTTTGAGTAGAACTTTGGGTAGATATTAGCGGCAATAGAAATCAAAACAAAGCAAAGGTAGATAAAAAATACACAGGGGTCCTTAATTGGTTAATCGAATGACTGACGTAATCGGGTCAAATGTCGCTTGCTTGGTACCTGACGTCATAGAACGTGAACTCCCACTATAACTTGTTAGATCTACATGTAGTGTAGGCCATCGAAAGTATAAAAAAAACAAACGAAATATAGATCTATATTTTAATTAGATTGGACACAGGATCTAAAATTCCATTCATGTCGAAAGTCACTGATCTTATGTTCCTTTCAAGCTTTAAGAAACAGGAACTAAAATTCCATTCGTGTCGAAAGCCACTGATATTAAGTTCCTCTCAAGAATGAAGACACATGATCTAAAAAATTTTCAAATCTAAAGGCACTGATCTTAAGTTCCTTTCAAGAATGAAGACACAGGAATAACATGATCTAAAAAAAAATTCTAATCAAAAAGTATACTATTCAAAAAAAGTAGGGGATATTTGATTTTTAAGTGTTATTAAAGTCACCTAATGAAACTGACGAAGAAACAAATGACAAAATGAAATGAAGTTCACATTCATCGATTTATTCCAAATGATCGTTAGACTAAGTAAGGCACAGACTGACCATTATAAGGGTAAAATGATACCCGGGGTCAAACAGCAAAGTTACCACAGCATCACAACCAAGTCAGTAACGGGTAAATCCTCCTCTCTTTGCCAAACAAGCATTGATCCGACGTGGCATACTCCTAATGAGACGTCTAAGGTCATTTTGGTCCAGATTGTCCCATTCCTGTTGCAACGCAGCAGCAAGTTCTTGGACATTGGCAGGACGTTGTTGACGTTGACGTAACCTCTGTATAAGCATGTCCCAGACATGCTAGATGGGGGAGAGGTCGGGACTCAGTGCTGGCCAAGGTAATGTGGTGATGTTCTGTTGTTGGAGGTAACCTGTAACGATCCTGGCCCTGTGACATCTTGCGTTGTCATCCTGGAAGATGAAACGGCGGCCATGACGTCGTGCGAACGGCACAACATGGACTGCCAAGATGTTGTCCCGGTAGTACTGGCCTGTAACACGCCCTGCAACAACATGTAAAGCCGTTCTTCCAGCAACAGTGATGCCTCCCCACACCATAACAGAACCACCCCCAAATCGATCATGTCTCATGACGTTAACGTCTTGGAAGCGCTCGTTTCGACGACGCCACACCCTCCTACGTCTGTCCAAAAAATCAACAGTGAACCTTGACTCATCTGAAAACATCACATTGCTCCAGCGTCGATTATCCCAGTGTTGACGATCCCTACACCAACGACGTCTTGCCTGAATGTGATGATCTCTCAAACAAGGGATCACGCGAGGACGTCGGGCGCGAAGGTGACCCCTATGCAGTCGATTCCGAATCGTCTGGCCACTCACTCTCACACCAGTGTCTGTTTGAAGACGAGCGCTGATCTGATTTGCTGTGATGACACGATTTCTCAAGGCCAAGGTACGGATAAATCGATCCTGGGCTTGAGTTGTCGCCCTTGGTCGACCTGAGCGTGGTCTGTCCTGTACAGATTGTGTATCACGGTATCTGGACCATAGCCTGCTTATGACAGACTGAGAAACATTCATCGTCCGCGCCACAACCGCCTGTGTTGTGCCGATCCGTAGCATGCCAAGGGCACGTAACCTTTCATTTTGGGTAAGCCAACGCATATCAAAATTTGTTTTCTGGTCACTAAAACAATTAAACTGATGTTTCCACCCTGGAATTCAATGCCACAATGACTGTAACATTCAAAGTCAGAGTCGTGCAAATCTTGGGTTGGACCCCCATGATGATCCCAAGCATCACCTGCATTCCATGCGGTAGCTATTGGTGCGTTTGGGCGTCACATGTAACTGGAAATGTTTCTTCTGTTAGGTTCTATAGTGACTTTTTTCGTAGTCATTTGCATATTTTAGTATTATGCCCCCAAAATCAAATATCCCCTACTTTTTTTGAATAGTATACTTAATTATCGGAAGGTCCTTTCACACTGATCTCATTTTCCTTTAGATTCACTGATCTAAAGTTCCTTTAAAGGATACAGACAATTAAATTTCTATCATATTGACCATGACGTAACTTTTTGAATATTCAAATATTTGTGTGATCACAATTAAAAAGGTTGAGAAAAACAAACAATATGGCGAGTGACTCTGACAAGCAGCAGAAGTATACTGTAAAATATACATACCTGAATTTACTGATGGCAATATCTGTTTTTGATAATTTGGAAAGGGTTTCAATAACCTGTAAACAAAATTTAAAAGTATTTTCATTAAAAATTACAATATGGTAACCAGGTCAGTTTGGCACTAACCTATGGTACAATTTTATTAAAGTAAGTAGTTTGCATGTAGGGGTCTTTAGCAGTAGGAGGAAAATAGGAGACCCAGAGGAACAACCATGAGTTAGGCATACATGTACTCCTTGCCATATAAAAGCTTGGGATAGAAACCTTGCCACTGGACTTATAATGATGATCTAAAGTGGAGGCGTTACACCACCCAACCACCCAACCCCCATCTGTCAGTGGAATACTGGCTAGCCTTAATTAAAAGTCACTTGAAACGCTTAAAATTTTTTTCAAATAATGCAATTATGTCGACATATCCTTTCCATAAGCATAACACGAACCCGAATGTCAATATTACCTGCAAAAGGTAAATTTCAATGTTAGTAATTTCCGCCGTTCTCCGTGAGTAGTCATAACTTTCCGTCAATAAACAATCTGTGATGTCATTTTAGTCCTGCTCGTGTTATACTTATGGAAAGGATATGTTGACATAATTCCTTGCAATATTAAAAAAAGAATTTTTAAGTTATTCCAGTGACCTTTAAAGCCAAAAAGCTATACCGATACTTCCTGGATTCATTGTATACTGTTAACTGATTGCTGGAGAAACTCTCAGTGTCCATATGAATGGTTGGTGGTTGGTGACAGGTGGTCTGCACAAGACAGAGTAGGCTTACTAAACAGGGCTGCCAACAACCAATATCACAGCGCAATTTGCGATACATATTTTGTCCCTTGCTAATCAAAAATTAAAATCGAACGTTTTTTGATTCGCAGTAACTGCCAAACATTGATACGTCTGTCATTTTGGATATTGACACAAAGATTTATCCACATTTTGAAGACTAGAAGGCTTTCTCAACACTTTCAACGTGTATAAAATATGTCAAATAAAATTTTATAAAGAAAACTGAATTCTCTGTGTGACATGTTCTTCTCGAACTATCCAGACACAATTCATTGTTCTATATAATACAGGGATATAACTCTATGAATAGTGACTATAAAACCGGAAATGAGGAATCAAGTAGTACCACTCATGCGGCAAGACATGTCAATTTCGTTCGAGTAATTATATCAGTATTACCATTTGAAAAAAAAATAAATCCAGTGTATCCCCCACGTATTGTAAACAAAATATCAAAAAAATAAATACATGTTAACGTATCTTGTAAAATGAGAAATGAGAAATCAAAGTAAGAATTCCCGTAAAATATCATTGTTTATATCACGTGAGTCTATATAGTTAATCGAGTTTATTCGTTAATTCTGCGTGTGTTCGATTGAACAAAAATGTTTTATGTTGAAACTGAAAAACTGCTAACCAAATTTGGTAAAATTGGACTTTTTGATTAGCAGTGCTGTTAATCAAATGTGAAAAATTACCAACAGCCCTGTTACTAAATACTATCTAATTCTCTTTGATGAAATTTATAATACACATGTACATACCTTTCGGAAGTTTTTCACATCAAATAAATCCAATGGTTGAAATAGATCCTTATCCTGCAAACCAAATGTCTTTTTACATGTCTGTAGAAATGTCCTTATATTTTTCATGCACAGGAACTGAAAAATATTTTTAAAAATAACATAAATAAAGATCTATTATAAAATTAATAACAATACATGTAAAAGAGAGAGAGAGAGAGAGAGAGAGAGAGAGAGAGATTCGGTTTAATGGACACACAGTCATAAATTCTGGATGAATGACAAAATTTTTGAAATAAAATCAAATTAAATGGAGTTTAACGTCCTACTGTTCTGCTCCTACTGGGCTAACGAAGGCGGACATACACGACACCATACAGTGTGTCCTGAGAGAAATTTTTCCCGGACAGTGGCAAAATCTTTGATACACCTACGTTGTAGAAGTACTGAAAATCAGATTGGTTTTGTTTATGACCTGATAAATACGATGCTCAAATTAACTCTGATGAATCTATAAAGAAAATTATTGCTGCCACACAAAAGAAATGAAATGGGTTTAACGTCCTACTGTTTTGTTCTGAAGTGGGCTAATGAAGACGGGCATACGCCATACAGTGTGCTATGAGGGAAATTTTGCCTGGACAGCAGCACTACGGCCTACTCTTATATCAAATTCCAACTGTCAAGGGATCTTTTACGTGCACGCCAATGTGTACACGGGACCTCGGTTTTTCGTCTCATCCAAATGACTAGACAGTTGTCCTTGTCAGGCCCTCCGTCCTGCATCACTGACAAGGGGGGAACAACGCCGGAAAATCTGGTGAACTTTCTCGGCCAATGCAGGGATGGAAGCCACACAAAAGAACATTTTATCTATATTATAACATGAGAATGAGAGTAATGAATAATGGTATTAAAAGTCTGGAGTCCAAAATAATTTATTGATTTCATTGAATCTTATATGTTTTGGGGTTTGTTTTTTTTTAATTCGTGGAGAGACAATCTGTATTCAATGAAAATATTACATCTATGTTCAGATTTTGTGTTCTACCATAGTCAGAGAGAGCAAAATTTAAACATACATTATGCAAGAGCTAAATCTGTCTATTGCAGGTCTTTCTTTAGGCTTGAAATGTTATCTAAATTATTAATTAGACATTACTTTCTTAACCTATCCAGACCATAATCAACTCTAGATGGCATCGCTAGCCTGAGATCTTAAGTGGAATATGAGCCGATTTACTGCATAACTTTCCTTCCTGATTTAACGATTAAATGGATAATTGAGACTATGCTGTTTATCATACTGACTTTAGTAATGATGATCAAGGCTAGCCGGAAATTTCAACCGCTTAATTAGTTCTTGGTTCATAGTTAATCAATTTGAATGAAATTTTGAGCAAATTGCCTTTACATTATCTAGTTTTTAACTATTATTTTGAGAACTGCCAACTCGTTATCGAATCTCCCATAATGTATCTTTAAACTAAAATTAAAGTCAACTTGCACTTTAATCTTTCAAAACAAAAATTTAAACATGCATACAATATCCTTAAATGACATTTAGAAGTAGAGGTACAATATTCATAATAACACAACTTTATGGATTTACTGTAAGAGTATTGAAACGTTGCATGTAATAAACCAAGAAGTAGTAAATCCATAAAGTTGTGTTATTATGAATGCATACAATACATGTACATACATGTACATGCACTATGATGCATGTAGAGCACACTTTTTGAAGCACACACTTCAGCTCAATCCAATTAAATTCCTTATTTTGATTGAGACTTGGCCCTTAAAGTTTTTCGGGTTCATATACAATGTATGTGTAAATTGTTCAATTTTGAAAACAGACAGGCATACCGATACATGTATTTAGAAGTCTTGGTTTTATAAAGCATATGGGTATAGTAAACATTCTTAACATTCCTGTAACCCCCAAAACCTAATCTTTAACAGGATTCTAAACAGCAAAACTTTGACTTAGTTACTCCAACAAAACAAAAATAGTCTAAATACACTGGCAGTATAATTCAATCTTGCCATAAAAATAAATGGCATAATTTAAAACATAATTAAAGTTGTCTCTTTTTTAATTAAATGTCTTGAGATGGAAAACAAAGTAAATATTCTTAATAAGCATTCCTGAGAATGAAATATTTATGTATTTCTTAAAAAAAAGAGAGTAATATCCATGCATAACCAGGAACTAGTTTAGTGAGAACATAAATTGATTATTATTGAAGCATACATGTAGTCTAACAAACCTGTGACATTTGCGGTCGAGGACTGAAATCTTTTAGTTCGACACATCCTGGACTTAGCTGATTTAGTAGATGACATATTAATACTCCATCTCGAAGGGCTTGTGCTATATCAAAAGCATTGGCATTTGCTTGATTGGCTTTGTGATCTTCTGGTAATATCTGACATCTTACGAGCCATTCGGCGCACATACGCCACTCGTCCGTCGCCATTATTATTTTCTTCCTAGTTCCTGGCTGAGCTTTAATACGATCGAAACTAATTTTTACAAATCATTACACAACTTGTTTCCTTATCCTGAAATTAAATGCAAAAACGTGTTCAATATTATCTATTAACAAAAAAATAAACACTGTATTTCTTTATTTTGAAATTAACGCGACAGTCTTTATTATTATTTTTCTTCTACGAAACTAATAGATAACCTAGTAGTGTCAGCTCTGGTAACAGGTGCCTGATTTCCGGTTGAGGCGGTTTCCAGGCAAATTCATCAAACTGATGATATTTTGGGTGGAAATTGAAATGAAATTAGGTTCGTATTGGTTATTACATATATTATATCGTATAAGGGATTATTGAACTTAAGTTTTCTATTCCCAACTTGCCAATTTCGGTGAAATAACAGTCAGACTAACTGCTGACATCACGTGTTGCTTACTCAAAAACAGGCTTCCTTTTCTCAGTTTCAATCGTCATTTTTAGCATGTAAACAAATAATGAAAGGGTGGGGTTGACTGAATTTTAAATGCAGATTTTAGAGGAGAATTAATGCTTTTTGTTGCCCGTTGTTAATATATTTTCAATTTGTCATAATTTCATTATGTTTTATAGCTTTTAGAGAAACATTATCAATCGGATCAATCACACGAAGGAAATAAAAATTATGAATGAAAATATGAATAAAAAAGCATATTCAGAGTGATATATTGAGATACTGCAACGTTGGATTGGGTATAGTTTATCCTAGTACTTGTAGCCATAATTCAGCGTGAGATCTGTTGGAGTTAATACTGTCAACTTTTTCTTCAAAACTACGATTCATTATTGTTGTTTATTAAATATTAACCACGTCCAGTTGCAATTAACAGGGATGTAGCCAAGCCGGGCGGCACTATTTTTTGCTGCCCAACACAAAGAAAAATCGAAGAAAGCCGCACAGTCGTATTTAAACCCCTTCATCCTTCTCTGTACACAAACTCAGAGCTTGATATTTACCACGGCAAACGGCAAAGCCATTGTAAAAGTCGACACAAACCATGTCTGCCACGGCCTAATTTATTTTTGTGTGCCGTAGTAGACCCTATCATCCCAAATTAGTTTAAAGAAAGAAGTATTGATATTTTGTTTATTTATATTTAGAAGTTGTGTAGGTCTATTCATTTTACAATTCTACGGTCTCTAAATTTGTATATTTGCCGTAAATAGCTCACCCAGACCAATTTACAGCACTCCAATGTTACAGGTTTGGATGTCGCAAATGGTGTTGTAATTTGTGAGACACAAGTCAAATAAAACAATGTGTTTTAGTTATCAATATCTACCTGTTGTCATAATTTGTTGTACTCAAATAAAACACAAACACCATTTTAAGAATCATTTTAATTTTTAATCTCAAAGTAATATTTGAAAAAAAACCCAGAAAAACTGAGAAACAGAGTGGGGTGGGGCAATTTTATGCTTGGTTGGTTGGTGTCAAAATGTTTTTAGATCCCTGGCAGAGTCTCTGTATCATTGATAAAAATTAAGTGAATTTGGTAAAAATTTGAATATATAAATGGAAATTTGATTTGCACTGAAGCAAATACAAAAGGCAGCAGATGCTCTGAAAATACACCAAGAAGGGTTGAATTTTCATAAAAGACCACGCCCCCCTCCCAAAAAAAAAATACTTCCCTTGCTCCACTCGCTACCTATTTTTTCCACTACTCAGCAAATCATGGCTACATCCCTGAATCAAGCATATATATGGTCATAACGGACGATTACATGACATAAAACAAAAGACACAGTCATGGGCACAATCATATTTTTTAAAATCTAAGCAATCAGTCGGTTACTATGCAGGTATTTGTCATTTCAAGTCAAGACTGAAAGGTTTGACGAAGGCTAGACTTTGACAAATGAAAATTGCAATAATATTTATTATTAATACTATGGCCTCTGCATGTTCTATTCGCGAATCTTTTTGGAAAAAAAAATTCAATTACAACATTAACATTGAATTAAAAGTGGACTTGGGAATCATTTTAGACCTAATAATAAATGACAATAAGAAAATAGGTCAATGAATTAAGCATGGTCGACAAAATACCCAAAGAGACCAAATTGAATGACAGTCTTTGGCATCTGGTTATTGCAGTCTACACCTGTAGTATTCTGTGGGGTATGTTTAGCCTCGTTCATCTCGTTGCTTCATTACAAATGGCGCTCAAAAGCATTCTGGCCCGGGATTCATTTGCCAATTTTAAAATTTACAAATTTGCTTTAACTAATGACATCAGAAGCCCATCTTTTCACGGTAAGATAACAACATCAATGTTTGTTTAAAGGCTCAATACCACTCTTGTTGTAACTGAATAATATGTCCCAATCTTTATTTTGGTCAAGAAATTGTTCTATTTTACAATATTCCAATTAATTGATGATACAAATTTTATCTTATCACACCTAATTTAAACAATTAGAAAAATTCAACTAAATGATTTGAAAAGCCTGACGTAAAGCTTTTCAAATGTGACTTGGATTTAAAAATATTTTTGAACCCTCTGGACAAGTAAAATAGGATTTAATGGATAATTTATACAACAGGTAGGACACTAACACATCTAGTACTTAGAATAAGGCTATTTTTTATTTTCTGGAGCTGTCAAGCCAGCAAGAGTGTTATTGTCCCTTTAAATTGACCAATAAGTTGTGTTTGCAATGTCGAAGACTATGGATGATATTGGATATTTCAGAAGCCCATCTTTTCACAGTAAGATAGCAACATCAATGTTGATTTAAATTGACCAATAAGTCGTGTTTGCCATGTCGAAGACTATGGATGATATTGATCTGATTTGTACATGTAAATTGTTTCTAACACATGACACAATTAATACAAGTTACTTGAAGGGTTTATTTCAGCGACATTTCGACAATGGTTCTCCCGTCTGTATTAAAGATACATTATGGGAGATTAGATAAAGAACTGACAGTTCTCACTATAATACACAGTAGTTGAAAACTAGATAATGTAAAGGGAATTTGCTGAAAATTTCAGTGAAATTGATCCACTATGAGCCGAGAATTAAGCGATTGAATTTTAGGCCTAGCCTCCATCATCATTACTAAAGTTGGTAAGATGAAAAACATTGTCTTGATTATCCATTTCATGATTAAATTATGAATGGAAGTCGAACAGCAAATCGGAACCTAATACAATAAACATCGCAGGCTAGCGATGCCATCGAGAGTTGATTATGGTCTGGATAAGTTAATTAATGTCTAATTAATAATTTAGATAATATTTCAGGCCTAAAGAAAGACCCGCGATAGGCAGATTTAGCTCTTGCATAATGTATGTTTAAGCAAAGACTGACAACCATAGTACAATGAAGATACATGTATACAAAATATGGAACAATGACAAACATTTATATACAATCAGAGATAATCATTGTTATCCAGTTACTAAATGCCACTTAAAGTTGCAATTGCAAATTTTCAAGTTATATTTTTAAAATGTATTAAAATAAAGCCTTAAAATAGATGGTATAGTCCTACCTTGTTAAAGAATAATCCTATTATTCCTATAATTCGCTATTGCCAGCTGAGAAATTGGCAAAAATATCATTTTTAACTTCAAATTCCAACGTTGGAAAATGGCTGTATTGTGTTGTTATTTCCTGTGTCATAGATTTTTAAGGGTGGGAAATAATGCCCATGATCGTATAATAGTGATTTGATAACCTATTGAGCAAAAGACATAAAAATAATTATGTTTTGACTTTCTTAGAAAATTTGAAATTCTCGCTTTAAACGATCAACATTGTTGAATAATTTCTTGATAAGTTTAATCTCTTCATATTAACTGGGGGTTCTGTAATACTATATTAGGTAAGAATAAAATCTTTCTCAAAAGTTACCAGGTACCATATTTATTTAAGCTTGTATTGGCCAGTTGAGGTTGTGAACTATAAATAGTTCTAAATCTATTTACTTTAGACTTTCTTGACATGTCTTATGTAAGCCTCGAGCCTCTCAACCCAACAGTAAAATCTGTTGAAAGGTCAGAAGACAAGATTGAATTGTACATCATCTTCTCCGCTATAACTTTCATATTGCTCAGTGTGGTTCTAAATCTCAATTAAATTTCTGGCTTCCTGGATGAGGTTGGAGTTCAATTAATGGACTTGCAAACATTTCCCATAATAAATTTGTGCCATAGGTTTCCAAATTAATTAGGTTTGAGGTCTGGTTTTAACTACATGTAATTAATTAAAGGTTGTTTTTTTCATTAGCCCAAAGTGAAAATTATTAGTCTAAAATTTGAGATATAAGTTGAAATGTATAAAAACACACATTTTACATGTAAGCAAAATATGTCTATATAGACCAGTGGTTCTCAATCTTTTTTGCCAATGGCACACCTTGGAACACATGAAAAAATAGCGACACACCTGGCTAAATATATATGAAAAATATTTGAATTTTGCAGAATAAAAACACGGCAATTCATAGACGGCATGCAGCCGTAGACACAGACTAGTCATAGACACATAGAATGACTCAAACTAATTAAAGAAAAACACAGAGCTATGATCTTACCAGTAGACACCAGTGAATACTCAAATAGGGTCACATGGTTTTTTATACGCCCACATTGAAATGTGGTCGTATATTGTCGGCGGTCCGGCGTCCGCAATTGCTTTTGGACGCTCTAGAGGCTAAAGTTAATATCCGATTGACTTTAAATTTATATACAGTGTTTAAGCCCATGAGACGAAGATGCCTATTGATTTTCAGCGATTTCCGATAATTACTGCCAGAGTTATGGCCCTTGATCACTTCAAAAAATCTTGTGGACGCTCTAGAGGCCAAAGTTAATATCCGATTGACTTTAAATTTAAACACAGTGTTTAAGGTCATAAGACAAAGAAGTCTATTGTTTTTAAGCAATTTCCGATAATTACTGCCAGAGTTATGGCCCTTGATCACTTCAAAAAATCTTGTGGACGATCTAGAGGCCAAAGTTAATATCCGATTGACTTTAAATTTATACACAGTGTTTAATGTAATGAGACGAAGAAGCCTATTCATTTTCAGCGATTTCCGATTATTACTGCCAGAGTTATGGCCCTTGATCACTTCAAAAAATCTTGTGGACGCTCTGGAGGCCAAAGTTAATATCTGATTGACTTTAAATTTATACACAGTGTTTAAGGTCATGAGACGATAAAGCCTTTTGATTTGTTGCTCTTAATCAGATTTAAGTGTATTATAAATGTTTCATTACCGAAAGTAAAAATATGCGACAACTCTTGTTGACTG